ATCTGCTGTTATTAAGTACTCCTTCTAATACTTAAAATAGTAAAAATATAGTATATTAGTAAACTTACATAATAATTTAATACTTTTAGCTAAAATTTTACACTTTTTAGTCTTTTAATTAATAGGTTTTAAAATATAACTAGATATTTTATTAGTAATATATACTAATAAAAAAGTATTTAAGGATATAAGTTAGAACTAACTAAATAGAAAATAGAATAGGCTTACTTCAAGGTCTTAAGGGCAAGACCTAACAAAGGGAAGAGATTATATTATAACCCTAGCAGTTACATTACGTATACCTTATAAAAGCTTATATAAAATACTAGCCTTTAAATAGCTATAAACTAATTAAAGCTAGATTACCTTATAAATAGAATTATAATACTCTAGAAACTATTATAATCTAGGATTACTATAATCTAGCTACCTTAGTAATCCTTTTAAATTACCTTTAGTATATAAACTATATTTATTAGCACTTTTATAGATTTAGCTTACTAGCTATTAATAATACTTCTTTATATTAACTAAGCCTAATACGTATTAATTTACTATTAAGAGATATAACACTTTAATAACGCTTAGTATATACCCTATGTAATTTGCTAATAATAAACCTAAGCACGGCTTAGTTTAACACAGTTAAACCTAACTATTATATTTATAATAAGTTAAGTAATAAGTAATAAGGGGAAAAATTAAACTAGCTAGTAATATTAAGTAAAAAAGCTTATTTATTAAAGATTTAGTTATATTTAGGGCTAGGCTTTTATTAAATAAAGCTTTATTAAGCTATAAAGGTTTTAAATATAAAGGCACCAGTGCTAAGACTACTTGTCTCGTGGTCCAGTTGGGGAAGTGGCTATGATGGTTGTTCATGGTGTCTCTCTGATGCGAGGCATCTTCTATTTCGCCTTTGATCCCTTGGGCATAGAAGTGGAGCTAGTAGTAGCATTTTCTCGCTGGTTGTTGGCTCTACTGTACCTTGATGAATTTGCAGTTGTTTTCAGCAAGGATAACGACGCTTATTGCAAGGCATGAGAAGTCCACAAGTTTCATTTCGGTATTTGTAGCTTGTTGGCTGAAGTCTTCCAAGTCTTGTGTATGCCTGTCGCCTCGCGACTTTGGGTCTGGGGGGCAGCTCGACGTGGTGGTCTAAATGCTTGTCTCGGCTACCAACTGAAGCACCAGTGGTTTGAACAGCTACCGTGGAATATGTGGCGGTTGCCGTCTATACTTGACTCTTGATGCTTGATGCTGCGAGACGAAACCCGTGGCCTTGATCTTGATAGTTCCTGATCTTATTGTAGTTGAAATGGATGGCCGTGATAGAAGAAAACGGGCATGAGATGTACTCAATATTATGTGCGAAAATGATCGACGGCTGAGATGAACTGTTCATGAGCGCGATTGCAGAGAGCTTTTTTGCGACTGTAAGAGAGGACTTATACAAGTAATGGAGAAGATCATCGTGGATATGAGAAACTGGGTAGCCATTTCCGTGGTCCGATTTGGAAGCCGTACAAGTTGAAGCCGGAGCTCCACATGACAGCTTTGACCCAACCGAATGGATTCTAGAATTGAGGCCTAGAGATTTCTTCGCATAAACTTACAGCAGATGACTGCCTTGGATGTCCCTATGCTGTGTTTGCTAGGGGTTTGCCGAGCAAGTAAATCAGTTGATCGCACGAACTGCTTCCCACGATATTTTGATGATTCTGGGAATTGTGGTAGAGAGTCAAATACGATAGATGTAAATAAGTATTTAAATCAAAGCCCTTAGTAAGAAAAGGGTGGCCGCTATTAGATTTTCCCTTTCAGAAAACAGACGTATTTTTGGCAGAAAAACTCAATATCCATCCTTCCTTCGATCGGATCAACTGTGTTGACAGTATAGGGTAGTGATACACTAAATGCACTGGACATTCAGTAGAAGGTGCCTATAGTAGGACGCTGGACAGTAAGCGAGGCCAGCTGTTCACGTCATCATCTTTAACATCGCTCCAAATACTAACAGCAGTATCGCCAATCTTGCGTCTCCCATGAGCGTTCGACCTACGTTCGGTCAATCCCGCGTCGGGAACTGGCTGTCGCCTTAAATATGGCTTTCCCTCGATGTTTTATCCAACAGAATCCAACAGGAGGCGCGCGGTTGATTGAGTTTCACTCTGCATCACCCTCCCTCGTCGGTAGGTGACAGATGACCTGTGCCAATCAATTCCCAAACTCTTAGCAAACTTGGAGCTCCGATCGTTCATTATCATCTGAGCGATAACATGAAGCATTGCATATCAGGAGCAGCCAGTGGCCCTGGCCTGCCCGGACCATATCAATACAATCACTCCTAGTCACGATAGCCCGAAAACCGAGGCTGCCCTCTTCCACTTCGTAGCCACCACCAAAACTCTGGCCGTCTGCTATTTACTGAACCCTCTCATCATCCTTCTTAGCATTGGCTTCACAGTTGCCTGTGCCATGGAGTCGGGTACGAATAAGGGTCATGACAAGAAGTGTGGGATACATTTCTGCATGGTGACGAAGACTGACCCTGCAGCTGGGCTTTATACAGGCAAACATTCTCTGTGTCACCCCCATGTCATATCTCATAAGTCCACCAAAAATGAAACCTTCACCGCCCTGTTCGGTGTAGCCAGAGACAAAGGGATATCTCGTCACGACAATGTTGGATCTTGGTTCAAAATGGACTCATTTCTCGACCACACTTCATTCTGCTTTGCCTGTCTTTCAGCTCTACGTCCCTCGCCACCAGTCAGAACTGCCTCAGCGAGCCCACACACGCAACCAACCCATGAGCCACCTTGGCAAAACACCCGAAGGCTACCTCTCCGCATCTTTCGCAAGCTTCTCCGTCATGAACAAGAAAGATCGAATCCGCCATTAGCTCAGGTCCTGAGCCGAACAAATGCAAGACCTTCTCGATCAACTGAATCCCACCCACAAGATCTCCCGATCCCTCAAGACCAGCATCACTCGAATCCAGCGCTTCAATGAGATTGATCGGCCTGGCGTACTCTCACTATGGCAGGATCTTCTCCACACGCCTCGCGCCCTTCCTTTCCACGCTGGGGAGTTCAGTCGCCAGGTGGAGCCCCGAAGTCTTTTCGACAGACGGGGTGATCGCAACCCGGATATTTCGATCCTTATCGTCGATACCAATAATGATAGTGAAGAAGGTCTGCCTGAGGTGAAAAAGAAATGTGAGGCTGGCAATACTGTGAACGAATTGCTTGATCCGCCGAGAAAGTGGAGGGTCATGAGAAAGCAAGAGATACGACGATGACGAGCTAATTCAGCCTGACAACGAACTTGAAGAGCCTTTTTCTAGAATGAAGAAGAAGTCCAAGGTTCGTAATGTCTTCGGCAAGATGTACAATCCAATACAGTGGAAGGTGATGAGAAAGCGAAAGAATGGCGACTATGACGGCGACGACGAGTTGAACCAACTTGATACAAAGCGCACCAAGCGATTTAAGACGCAGGAGTGCATTCCTTTCCAGCAGAATCAGAATATTTGACATCTCCTACGGCGAAAAACACAAGGAGAATGCCCTGCAACTCGCGGGAGACTCAAGATCGCATCAGCATGGAGGGAAAGCTCGGGAGGGTCACGGAAAGACATACCAGTAGCGGCGCGTTTGTGGGATCTTGGAGTTTGGGTAGATGGAAAATACAGTGTATCTTTTCTGAATAATAGATCTCTTGACTTGATTATCTTGTTCGAAGCCTCGGAGTGCCGCTATCAGTTATGAGCCGTAAACAGGGTGAAGGGTTCACCGAGGCTTCAGGCCCAAGATCAAGGCAAACAACACAGATTCCAGTTGAAAGAATTACTTCAAGGGCCAGCATGTAAGTTGAACGATTGTGAAGAGGATTTGTGAACTCTTGCCAAGTGGTTGGAGACAACTACTCTAACGATTACGTGGTGAAGTCGCTATCTTCAGTGTAGCTCGCAGACGGTAGAGGTGGCTGAGCTTCAAGAGTAATGCTCCTCATCCTAAACCCCTGTCTTCCTTGAGCTCAAGACGAAAACATCTCGCTGCCAGAAGTCAAATCCCTACGCTCAGAACTGCTAGAGAATCATGATTCCCAGGAAATGGTTGCCGAGGCCAATTATAGATGCGTATTCTTGCCGTGGCTAAGGCACACATCTTCAGACATTCTCAGGAGATGCAGCTGCAGGCGAGCCATCTATTTAGCTGTTTGCCCTAATACGCAATAGCAAGGACAAAGGCCCTTGGTACTACCTTCTAGCTGCTTAGCTATCGTAGGTTCTTCGAACGGCGGCTACAATCTGTTCATCAATTCCTCGCCGGCTAGGGATATACGTTTTGTTAGCGTCAGGGAAGCGTACATTACCGTATAAGCAACTGTCGTTTGACTCGGGTTGCTTAATGGGATTTGCGGTTATAGATAGAAACTTTCATACTTCAACGACCGGTACAACAGGTAACTACCTAAGATTGAAGTCTTATGTCTGTCTACCTCTCCTCCTTACTCTGCCTCTTCGTTGCCTTCCCTTTGTTCATTTTCCTCTCTATCTTCCGTCTCTCTACACATCTCCACCTGTTCCTTGCGATATCCTTCGCTGTGATTTTCATTGCTAACCACTCGACTCTAAAAATTGGATTTTTCATTCACTCTATCTCACCATTCCAGTGCCGTACCCCAAGACTCCTCAAGGCTATATGCCGACGCGAATGGGCGGTGAAATTGGCAGTTTACTTGGTCTTTCTGTTGAGAAGTGTCTCTGCGTGTCCATTTAATGAAGTCCATACTACGGAGATCCGGGTTCGGAGATGTTAGATCCAGAGTCAGCCAAACATGAGCTCGACTGTCGTGGACTCCGTCAGCTGGAGTTTCGAACGACGGAGTTGTCGGCGGGGATCTGTATGGTCTGCAGGTTCATGAAAGGGATTCCGGATTTGGGATAACCAAAACCCCTTTGTGGGAGCTCAAGACGCTGAGCATTCTCAGATGCGGGCTAAGATAGAGACCAAGGAGCTCAGTAACCTGGAGGTCCTTGAATTGGGACTTATCTACGGAACGCCCACCATGGATTTGCAAGCTCCGAAATTCTTAAATGTGTACTCTGAATCACGTGGCTCACTCCTCGAAGCTGAGTGGTCTGGAAGCCCTTGAGGCTAGAATGCAAGCGTCTGGCTCAGTACTTGGAGCTCAGAAGTTCGAGTGTAAGCTTTATCAATCTTGAGCTGCGAGATACGGAGCTCCTTCTTTGGCGCTCCGTGGCCTGATTCCTACTACTTTTCTGGATGTAATGTGGGATAAAATAACATGAAAGGTTTCCCAGGAGTAACTCTCAACTTTCAACTAATCTAAGTCAGCAGACCCCCACCAGCATTGTTTTCACTACCGCAAGATACTCACAAGTAATAATATTAAGAACTAGAGTCCCGAAGCCTATAGAGGTCCAGATATGGACGTGCGAAGTACGGAAAATTCATCAGATGAACTCCGGCGTCCGGATGTCAGCCCTCAGGCCCATCTGGTATAAGTACTCTTGAGGTCAAGCTCCTGTTACGGAGCTTAGATATCTGATTGTGAAATTCACTCAGTATGAACTTGGGGGCTCGGAGTTCGTACCACGGAGCTCGATGATCGGAGCTTCGAGATTTGATGTCCAGAGCATTCTTCCACCTGCGTCTAACGCCATAGCGATATCTAATATACTTGGTGTTTGGGGTTACTAATTTTCCCGATAGCTCCGGACTGAACGTATGATGAAATAACATGACGGGCTTATCAGCCGCCGTTATGAGCACTTCGACTGTCATTACGACATGTGTGCCGTTGATAACAACAGCAGCTAGAGCCCCTAAGCCTCTTAAATAACAGTCATTTATCCAAGAACCCTTCAATCGAGAGAAACTCCCTTCTATTCACTACTCGGGCTTTGAACTCAGTGGACAGGTTTCGCAGATGTCGGACCTCCGTGCAATGGACTTCCGTTCTCCCAGCTAATAAATCTCATGCCATTGGTTGAGGGAAGGACCTTTCTAACGACCTAAGAACAGCAAGCCTTCTTGCAATTTGTGCGGTACAGCCGTCATTGACTCATCTGCACGCCATTCCTAATTCACCTCAACCCCCCCTTTCTCTTTTCACACCAGTCCAATACCCATTGCGTCTAACTCCTTGGCTAATCTGGGATCATGGTTGAAGTTATACCGTCAGTAATTTATCTGGAGAGACAATAAAACGTTCAGCTATAATCCTCCTTTGTTATGTTATTCCCGATAATATGACTCATGCGGTTCAGTTATCAGTCGAGCGTAGGTCAGTATATTAATCCCTCAGTAGTAACGACCTGAGCTCGTCGAACCAATTATATGTAATTCAAAAGGCCATGCTGGGTGGTTTGCATGTGAGCAGGGCAGGAAAAATTACTGTGTGTAACAGCATGGCTCTGGCCATCAGATCGATATGAGATAGGTTCTATAGACAAGTATAATTTGAGGTTCCATAGGACAGTCATATCGCGTAATGGTAACGTCCCCGAAGTTGTCCAGTTCATCGGTCGCTTGCCACGGCTTGTTTCTCAGAGCTTCCAGTTCTGGGACCATCTCTCCTTTGACGCCAGGAACAACATGAGACGAATCTCAGTTGCGGTGTAGAATGATCTGATTCCCCTCGTAGTATAACTGTGACTAGACTGGAAGATCATGGGGTCGATCGTGGCATCGAGGGAGTCAGGGATGCCTCCACTAGGCAGCTTGGGAAACCCTCACTCTAACAAATACTCTCAAGTCCATGCTTCACTGCTCAAATTCCTTTGAGCTGTTGTGGATCCTTATCCTTCTGTGAACAAGGACCAATTTCAGATTCGTTTTCTGCTCCCGGAGGAACCTTGTTAGATGTTTAATATTATCTTTTCTTTTGACTTTGCCGTTTTTTCTTCCAAAGCCGGGAATTGCTTACATCCGTCCAACGCGCTGTCGCTAAGCAGTATTAACAAGATCTTCCTCTGCTGAAGCCGAGCTTGGTCCACTCTGCGTTTGCATCTCTATATCCTCCTCGCGGGATGTTGATGACCGCCTAGTCCATAATCTCTGTGCACGCCTTGCCTTGGCTTCTTCAAACCTGACACGCTCTCTTTCCCGCTCAGCATTGATCACTTCATCCCGCCGCTGTTGTTCTGACTCGGTCAATCCTACCAACCCAGTTAGTAAACCACTGCTTTATGTTCAGTAGCGTTCATTCATGGCACTTACGTCCGCCTGCAGCAATTTGTATTCTTCTTGTAAGGCCGGTAGCTTGCTGAAGAAAGTTTCGTGCTCCCAAAACCACGTCGCAGGGACAATTTGGGACCACTAAAAACATATGACTCTTCATCTCCTTGTTCAGCTCTCGTGACCACTGAAGCTTTACACGATACCTTGGAGTAAACTGAGTCCCATCAAACCCAGTGACTGGTTCCTGTTCATGCTCTGGGATAGGAAGAAAGGATTGTTTCTTTAGCTTCAGTACATCTAACAAAAAGCTCTCAGAAACATGGTCAATGCTTGCACCAGTGTCTAGCTTAAGGGTTGCTGGTACAGCTCTGCGGTCGCGGGGTAGATGTGGATGATCTGACAGATTCTGCGCTTGTATATATGCAATAATAAAAAAGTCGTCTCCCTGGAGATCAACTAACTCTTTTGCCGAGGGAGCCCCTGCAAATTCCTGGTCTAGTCGAGACATAGCCGCTCTGGTATCTAACAGTCAGCACTGCGTAAAAACAAGGTGCAATGGACGAGTTCTTACGTCATGTTTCGTAGCTGGGTATGCATCCTGATACTGTGGCCCTCAAGATTAGTTAACTGAAATCAACCGGTATATAAACTTACTCGGCACAAAGGTCTCTCAGGCTAAAAACAGACCCTCTATAGAGTCTAAGAACTTTCTCCCATTCGTCTTTATGCCATACCAGCTTGAGTTTCTTGGCCCTTGTTAGACTTGTAGTCTCAAAGCCGCGCCTGAGGCCATTTGATGCAAGGTTCCCGTTTAACATATCCTGGTGGAACTGGCAAAGCTGACGCGCCTTTTGGACTGAGATGGGAGGCTCATCGCCCATATGAGCAATAACTTCCTCATTTTCTCTGAACATATAGTCGAGTAGTTCAACTTCTTGCATGTGAAGTATCAACTCAAATTCAATGGCCCGGACTCTTTTCACCCATTTCATAAAAATCCAAATAAGAATCAGTTCAAGAATAGCGAGAACTAGGAAGCCAGCTTCCAGGAGCAATGAGCTCATAGAAGTAGAGGACGACATGGGCTTTTTGTTCTAGATTCAACGCTGGGAATAATAGTAGTTCTGAGGGGCAGAGAATGAAACAGTGAGGTTAAAACTTAGGCACAAATGTCAAAGAGCCACCAAGGCATTATATTCCTTGAACGGAGCTATAATTAGCAACCTTTTTTGACAAGGGTGCTTCTGAATATTTCCATCGCATGGATGTATTAACACTTCATGATTGGCCCACGTGTTGGTGAGGCGTTTTTCTGTAGCTTATTGCGACGAATACCTTTCCATATCTCGCAGCCTGATTTCACGACTGCGGCAAGCCAAGAGAGTAGCGCCATTGTCTATCCAATAAGGATTGTACAGACTCACACTAACGAATAACCGAACAGTCAGCAATGATTCATAGGCACTCACAATCCGCTTGGGGCTGAAAAGCGCGCTGCCTGAAATTATCTCCTACGCATCATCCCTCATTTGAATACTGTCCCAACACAATTACTACACACAGTCATCAACGACAAAATGAGTCACCAGCCTCCGTCGATGTATGTGCGACTGGCGCGTATGATGAACGGTGACAAGAATCTGGCCATCTTCCGTCGATTCGACGATGCAAATATTCTATGCTTGCTCTCACTGCAGGCAGAGATCCTCCAGCTACAGAGTGATTTTCACCTGGAAAACTCTCTTGATGAGATTGGAACTGAAGAAGAACGGAAGAATGGAGAAAGCTTCTATGATAGCCAACAGAACAACAGTGACCAGCATCAGAGATTATATCAATTGAGGAAAAGACTAATGCAGTATAGTATGTTACAGAATCTATTTGAATATATAAGAATACTAATATCCCTAGACAAATTTCTTGCGCAATGTATGTCTTGGTAGCTTACATACCCTCACTTGCTAAAGTCGTTCCCAGATTCCGCAACCAGTCAACTTCCGAGTCCCAAAAAATCTCAATTACAGAGTTTGAGAAACTGGTTAGCAATGGACAAGGGAGGGAAGAACTTCCAAACAGGAGCAGAGACCAATACGTGGACTGGAGACGGATCGAATAATCCTGATCTCTATGTGACTTTGCGATCCGTAGCTGAGGACGACGATTTGTTCACCAGGGGTTTCATGAGATTTATTGCCGGCCCATTTCATCTTTCATTTGGCCAGAGGATGAAGGTAGGCCGGGTTATCGACGAAGAAAGTGGCTATGTCACCTACCAAGATGCCCGCATAATACGGCTCACCAGCATCATTGTTACTGTGATAGCCGCCATTTTGCCTCCTCTCACCATCTTAGTACTCAATGGGCGGCCAACAACTAACCAGAGGATTGGTTTCACGGTTTTGTTTACAGCCATCTTTGCCGGTATTCTTGCGTATTTCAGCAAGGCAAAAAGAGTGGAAATACTTGTCGCTACTGCAACGTAAGTCAAAAGATGTTTTCAAAAATGCTAACGGGTGTGTATACTGATCCATATTTACAGCTTCGCCGCTGTGGAGGTCGTTTTTATTGGTAGCGCTTTGTCTGGTACGGAACAAGCTCAGATCAATGGGAATCTTACACTGATGCAAACGATGAATGGGTCTGGAATGATTACTGCCAACTTGACATCGACTTAGTCACGGTACTTTGATGTACTTTGATGTACTGTGATGTATTTAGTTTAATTTTAGATATTTCTATAAGAGTTTTTAAAATACGGTAATTGAACCTAGTCCTATAGTCTAAAATTATAAAGCCTGAGAGGATCCGACGTTACAATCTCTGCTTGGAGAAACATAAGTTACCCCGAAGAAGGTGATAGTTCTCGGACTGGTATATGCAATAGCCCCAGTGCGCGCTGCCGTCGATGCCAACAGCTTGAAACCTACTGCCGCCGGTGCATTGAGGTAAGTTCCGCTGTCCTGGAAACACTAACCCTGTATCCTACTAACTAGCCGGACCAGATCATTCGCGGATCCAAGCTAGCCTGCATAGCTGTCAACCTGCTCCACGCTATCAAAGCATTCCAGGAATCTAAGAACAAGGACAAGAACACACCTCAACTCGTGAGCCTGCCTGTCCAGCGTACTTCAGCAGCTTTCTTTCCAATTTTATACAGATCGCCAATATGTAAACTGAGCAGTTCCAAGTCCGTAATGGCCTAGGAATCCATACGGGAGTTCAGGAAGGTCGATGAAAGCCTTGATGAGAAGACAGAAGAGGTCAAGCGGCTTAAGGAGAAGCTAGATGAGAAGACCCTCTTGGTAGAAACACTTAAGAATGAGATCGGGCAGCGGAAGAACAAATAGAGAGGGCTTTGGATAGCCTTGCGATGTAGCTCTATCCCACGAATAATGCAAGGTATGAGGTGAACCCGGTCACCTGGTCGCGTTAGGTAGTCGATAGGATGACTTTGGCTTACATTTTGCAGGGGGTTATGTTATTCCGAGTCCTATTTCAAGTGCAAGTGAAATACGGGGACATCTACAGGGATTACCTGCCAATAGTATTGCAAATCGTCCACTCTCGGTGAAAGTGGGAGGATTGATAATAATGCAGTCTCCTTTCTTCTGCATATGGCTTGCACTTGGACCTCTTGTAGTCCAGTGAGAAGTTATCCGATAATATTTAGCCCTATTCCGTACTTCGTACCCTACCTCCTTGACGGCTCGAATTGCTGGGTCCAGGCTAAAGTGCAAGACAGGGCTCATAGCAAATCGCTTAGTTCATATAAGCAAATATACGGAGTACTGGTTAGCAGTCACGTCACCGGGACCCAGCAGCATTCGAGCCCTTGAGAAGATACAGAGTTATGTACTCCGTACTGTAATTTCCCTTGCAGATTCTCGAGGCTCCAGGGTGAGCGCAGCTCAAGACGCTAAACTCGGGACGGGTAGCGGGTGATCACGCAGGTAGCCCGGACCTAACTATTAAGGTCTAGCCTTGGAGAACCAGTGGTCTGTGATTCGTTCACTGGGTTATCCTTGTTTCAGCTGATGGTCCTCCATGGCTGAGCGGTTTGTTTGCAGGTCCACAAAGATAATCAGAACGTTAGCGACCTAGTATCTAGAGATAATTTATACAGTAACAAAGCATATGGATGAATACAATTTGAACGAAGGATCCAATGTGCAGAACTCAAATTACTGGAAGAACCAGGTTTGCGGTACTAATATCTGAGTCATTCTTCAGGTTGGTAAGGGTTGCATTCTGAAACACGCCTTGCAGGGATGTAGATGTCACAACCAACAGATGTAACCTTGTCGTGCATATATGGGCTCGTCCACCAACCCTTTTCTTTTCAATCCTCAACTAAACTTCTCTGATTTTTTGCTACTCACTCAATATGGAATCTACATCTAATAAAAAAAAGCCCGAATGGAAGACGCGTTCGAACTTGGCTGCGAAAGGCTTCTTCTACAACGACAACATCTCCACAAAAGCTTTGCCTGACCATGTTAAGGCCCTCCGAGACTCAATTCTCAACTTCAAGGACCATGGGTCTGGTAAGGAGTTCGATAATAGTGATAGAAGAATCCGGGATCGAGCTAAGAATTGTGTGACGGGCGATGTGTCTGAGCCAAACTGGAAAATCTTTTTTGTTGGGAGCTTCCTTACTCCGCTTGTAGAAAGAACCTCTGCTTCGCACGGCTCACGCAAGTAGGTTAAGATTTATTATAAGAAGACTATTGCTAACAAGAATGATCTCAGAGTGGATCCGTGCAACAATGGCAATAACAATATCGTAGGGTAAGTCGTTTGAATAACTATAGGATTAAGAGGCTTACAAGTAATAAAAAGTGACTCCGAGGCTCTATGGGTAACATTTGATACCAAGAGCGATAAGCTTGGTGATTCAATGCCTGATATCTTCCGCAACGCGAGCCAACCCGAAACCGGACTATGCCTTTTATTTTCCAATGTATCAGCTGACGACCAGACTTGGAACATCTCGACTTACTCCTCGATATGTGAACGAAGTCAATGCTACGCCGGTTAACAGGATCAAGGCAGTACTGGAAGTTCCCGAAGAATCAACGTCCTCTTCTGTGGAGTCATTTTCATACTCTGGCTTGGAAGAACTCTACCAGTACGGCTTGCGACCCTCTCCTTTTAATGCTTTTAAGAAGAGAGCGACAGAAAAGGAACTGAGATGTTTTCCATGGCTTATTATCGAGATGAAGAAGAAACATACCCAACGCGGACGGATCAATAAGTCAAAAGAGGAGGCTTCCTGCCAAGCTGCCAATGGCAGTGGATGTGCTGTAAGACTAAACCAGATCGCGGCGAAGTTTGCTGTGGAACTACCCGGTCAAGGGCAAATCCCTCCGATTCCAGCTGTTACTACAGCTGGACCCGAAGTTAAGGTTTGGATTACGTATTTTGCGAGAAATTTCATGGCACAAAGAAAGTTCACGACACATGTTTCCCATACAGCGAGAGGACAGTACCTCGACCCTATCGATCAAGGTTATGTCAGTACACCAGAGATCTCAACTGATCCTTACTGACTTTTCCTCCTAGATGATGCAATGCATTTGGACCGGAGATATAACAGACCTTGAGGACGTCAAGAAATTCCGACTGATACTCGACAATACTTATAATTGGGCAACGCAGGTACTTAAACCAATGATGAACACCTATATTCGTCAATGGAACTTTGTCTACTCTGAAGCTGTTCGCAGCTTTGCGACTGCAGCAATGGAACGTGAAAGACAGAGAAAGGAGCTGTCAAGAAAAACACTTCGATTCGTCCTGGCTGCTCTGGGTGATGAAGCAGACCTCGATACTGACGATGATTTGCGTCGAGCTGCTAAGCTAAGGCTGGTGAACCTCTGCGATGCATTTGTCCAAGACACAGACCAAATTATTGCGGAGGAACTTGAGAAGTTATACTTGAAGAACGCTGATAGTGAGGACAATGAGTACAGTGAGGAGAGTGAGGAGAGCGACGACGAAGACGAGGAGAGCGACGACGAAGACGAGGAGAGCGACGACGAAGACGAGGAGAGCGACGACGAAGACGAGGAGAGCGACGACGAAGACGAGGAGAGCGACGACGAAGACGAGGAGAGCGACGACGAAGACGAGGAGAGCGACGACGAAGACGAGGAGAGCGACGACGAAGACGAGGAGAGCGACGACGAAGACGAGGAGAGCGACGACGAAGACGAGGAGAGCGACGACGAAGACGAGGAGAGCGACGACGAAGACGAGGAGAGCGACGACGAAGACGAGGAGAGCGACGACGAAGACGAGGAGAGCGACGACGAAGACGAGGAGAGCGACGACGAAGACGAGGAGAGCGACGACGAAGACGAGGAGAGCGACGACGAAGACGAGGAGAGCGACGACGAAGACGAGGAGAGCGACGACGAAGACGAGGAGAGCGACGACGAAGACGAGGAGAGCGACGACGAAGACGAGGAGAGCGACGACGAAGACGAGGAGAGCGACGACGAAGACGAGGAGAGCGACGACGAAGACGATGATGAGGAGGACCTGGTATAGGACCGTATCAGGAGGAAATGTATGTGGAAAAAATGGACAAAGAGACGCTATCTGTATATTATGAGTGTAATTTACAGTGCTGACAGTTTGCTTGGTCTTGCTGTTGAAAAGTATTGCTGCGTGTCCGTGGGATGAAGTCCTGACAACGGAACCACACAGGGGTAGCTCTATCACTTGGAATAGAGTTAACATGAGCTGCGCTCTTAGGAGGTTTGTTTGGCGGGGCGACTGGCCAGAGTTAGCATGGTTCGGAGGTTATATAAAGTGTGATCCAGGCCACTGAACTCTTCAGTGATAACTTGCGAATTTGTACTTTCTCAGACAGAGACTCCAGGCCTTGGAACGAGCCACTCGGAGCTGCATGGCCTGGCGCTCCTCGGACATACACTCCGCTTTGCTGGCCTAATAACATGAATACGCAGGAACAGGGATACCTATAGGGCAAAGTCCGGGTTCTGGAACTTAACCCTTAGAGGTAACCAGGCTGGAGGTTCTTGTGTTTAGAATCCATGCCATAGAGCTTAGTATTGTAGTGTTAACTCTACTATATTTGAGTTCCAAGACACGGAGCTCTTACCTTGGATGTCCATATTCTGGCCTCTTAGACTATTCTTCCGTTAACATAAAACACACCAATAACAACTCCATCATCACCAGCGTTTGGCGTTGCTGAGTACTACTAGGCCTCTGGATTCAGTGTGTAATGACTCCGTATGTCTTTAGTCGAGAGAAACTCATTTTTATTCACTACCTGATCTTAAAAGCCAATAAATGAATTAGTTATCTATCGGAAGTCCGAGTGTCGGACCTCCATGTGCTCAGCTGATATTGGCTTATATCGTTAGTCAAGGGATTGGCCCTGCTTAAAAATGATCTAAAGACAGTATGCTTTCTTATCGTCACGCGTTCTTAATTTCTTTAGGCCGCGTTCAATCTAACCGAACTATAGTCTCCGACATTAATGGTTGCGAGTTCTTAGAAGCCAGGAAAGGGTATTTGCGTGCCAACTCTCGCCTTGTGCGACAATTTATATTGCTCCAAAGCCAAGGACCAATTTGTCAAAGGAGCGATGCCAATCCTCGGTTGCACGGAGTACATATCATCTGACACGTAGTCAAAAACTGCCAAAACGTTACGGAGAAATGGCACGCCCAATATTGAGTCAGCCAATGAAAGGCTCTGCGCGTTGACAGAAGCCCGACACCTGAAGCAAATGTTAGGCCTTGTCTCTTCATTATATACTGCATGCTCACATTTGTGTTTCATTTACGGTAAACCAGTCTCCTGGAGTGATCAAGTCGAGGGGCTTGATATCAATCCATTGGCCATTTATCTTGATCTCCAAATGCTGTGGTTTTGAACAATCGAAAGAGACAACCAGACCCGATGATTGCGATGGTCCAATGATACTGTTTGCGATCTGGTCGAACACTATGCCACCAACAGCCATAAATGACGTCCCACTATCTATAGCTGCAACATACGGCGATCCTGAAACAATACCTACTCCACGTTAATGCTGGCTTTGCAAGTCATCGGAACAACTGAGGGATCGTAGAGGACGTACCACTTGCCGGTAGGGAAATGGTTTTACCGTTAAACCTCATCCCATCAACCGTAATAGACCAGAGCTGCGGTGCCGGAGGGGCCCCTGGATAATTATAACTAATAGTTTTTAGCAAGTCATTTTCTTCAAGACATAGTAAATCCTTACTTGGGGCTGTCAACTATGTTGCTGTATGTTATCCTCTGTCCATTCGAGGCTTCCTTGTCAATGCCACCTATAGTCAAACGACCTTCTTTCGGACTGTTTGGATCCGCGTATCGCGGGAACAGTGTTGAGAACTTGGGTGCAAGTACCCTTTTCTGTGCTACCAAGGTATCGAATGGTGGTAAGTTTTGATGCTGGTAGAACTGCCGAGAAACATTTCGGAGACCCATGCCTAGTATTCCAGAAAAGGTTCCATTCTGAAACTCCATCTGCACAGCATTGTAAACAAGACCTATTTCAATTTATATCAGATTTCTTACTTTTATCCTTTTCCTCTGTATCAGGAACAAGGAATAGCTCACCGACATCCAAGTCTCTTGCAATAATGTTCTTTGTACCGAATTGGACATCCAAGATAGACTGATTGCCGAATACTGGCCCAGTCCCGACAATTGTAAAGAAACTTTGATTTCGTGGCATATTTGTCGTTGGCTATATATATGTAAGCTTATTGGTTACCAGCCACACAAACATAATTCCTTGTTCACACAGAGGAACTCTTACCTGGATCTCGAAAGGCGTGCTGTTGAAACATCCACTAGTGGGGGTGTTCGGGCACTCGTTTGATACAAGAAACAGATCAGCGGAGCCAGTATCAAGCATAACAGGCAACCTTTGGCCATTGCATGTCAGCTCCACGGAATAGTAAGTATCCCCAAGTTGCGTCACGCTAGGAAACTTGATTGGCAGTGTGTGTACTGGTCCAGGCCCTGTACCAACTAGAGCCTTTTCTTGATTGTAAGCATTACTTCCGGCAACAACATCGCTGCCAATCTCTGTATCCGGGAGGCTTAGGGTATTAGACCATAGAGCACACTTGATGGCCGCTGTCTTACCATTTGACGAAATTTTGAGGTGATCGGGCCGGAAGTAGATATTGAAAGCAACACATTCTTTGTTGGCGTTACACCGTTGCGCACACGCGTTGACGTCGTAGTCGACTAATCTGAAATCTTCCAGATAACCCTCTCGACTAGCCAATACATCGGTGTTAACAAATGCGGCAGCATATCCGAGCGGTGTAAGAGCAGAACTGGCCGACTGAGAATAGGCAGAATCATTGTCGGATGCGCTCGATCTCGATGCTAACTCAATTGTGCCGGCTACTACTCGAGTAGTCAGAAACAATGGGAGATGCAGATGCATATTGAAAGTCTGCTTTCAGAGGTCTTGGTAGCGGTCACCTAGAACTTGTGTGTCGAGGATACTGGATTGTATCCTTCTCTGGCTATAGATTTATTGTCTCTGAGTACAAACTGAGTTTACTCCGCAACATCCGTATCCCTTGCACATTTTGTTTCTCATATTGCAAGGAGTACCCGCAATTGCTACAACGCTGTTTTGATGATGCGGGGATCCGGATAGTCGGATACATATTTAACATGATTTAAAAACAGTAATTGGTGCGCTAACTAAAGGTAGATAGCCATAAACGCCGATTCCAAGGGTCGCAATACGAACTTCGGAAACGGCATTCTATTAATAATTCAGATGCGGGTATGCGGCAAGTATAATTCTTTGCCTTATCTCTTAATGCCACCTCATGCTTCTGGGTCCCAGTGACGAAATGGGAGGGGGAAGAACAATGCTATCGAAATGCAGTTCAATATTCCGCATTGAAATCTTTGCACTTGGCATATCCTTGTTCCCACTACAGAGTGACAAGCCGCAGAAAGCCAAAGGGCGCATCCATCACGAAGAACTCGAAAACACCTCGGGCCAGGTTTCCTTCTCGCCCACGACCATGGTATAAGACACTTCAGCGTAATGCTCTGCTGCCGAGCATAGTTCAGGAGCAAGTTGGCCATACACATTCGCCAGGTTGTTGAATGCCCACGGCACAGCGTCATTCGCCACCCCCCATCGTTCAACTTCGAGTCGCGGCCGATCTGTATTGTCATTGGGCGGACATGCAATGATGCTGTGTCCCAGAGCCTCGAGGCCCTTGAGGATCATCTTGGCCGCAATATTCAGCTGGTTATTCTTGAGCAGGTGGGCGCCGAAGGCGAAGTAGGGTTCCCAGAGTTCTAGCCGAATGGCGCAGTCGTTGTTTGTCGGGTAGGTTTTCTCGAGAGCCTTCATGAGCCGACTTGACTTGGCTTCGTTGCTGGAACCAGGGTGATCAAGAAGCCTTTGGAGGTCGCCGGCAAGCACCTTGCGTCTCTGGAAGACGGACTTAGACGTGACCTTCTTACTCAGACATAGCTCGCAGTTGCACGTGAATCCCCAGTGATTCAAGCCCTTTTGGGTCTCTTGGTAAGATTCGAAGGGCACAGGAAGACGATAGCAGAAAAAGAGTTCAGTGTCAGCAGGGAGATCCTTCGTCGCGCGCACGATTTGCATGTCTCCGATGAAGGAGCGTCGACAGTTGCCCACACAGGAATGGTTGATACGAGAAGCGAGAAGCCAAATGCCCGAGGTTGTGTACTTGAGGTCCTTACCACTTGTCATATCTCTGTTGCTGGATGTGGCTTGGAGGAATGACTCGCGGCTCGTCCTCGGAGCACCAAAACCATTAAGGGAGGCGATCTTTTCTACCAGGAATCTGGGTCTCGGTTAGCCGCCTGGCTCAACTGATTTACGAGTCAAAGTGGGAGAAGACAACTCACGAATCAACTACAGGGATTCCGTCAGTCTCCAAGACTGTAGCCTTTTGGTAATCGGCGTAGTGAAGGTCTCCAAACTCGGCGGACAACGACGAGTTGTGGTACAGTTTCTGCACAATTAGGGTCAAGAGACGTGCTTGGCCACCCACTACCATCCTCTTGGTGGCAAGATTCATCAGGATTTTGGTCTGTTTTGTGGATTGCTCATCGCCGGCAAAGCTGTAGGAGAATGCCTTTTCGCAGAGCAGAAGTTCCCCCGCGGAGACCGCCTTGGTGGTGAAGAGCCCTTTGCCCCGGCCAGGCGACTCGCGAATTTCTACAGGAGCTGAGAAGGTGGCACAGTCGATCAAGGGAGGTGTCTTTTCCGCCTGCTTATACATTTGCTTGAATTTGTACTCACCTGTTCGCTGTTCGTTAAGCCGCTCGTTGAGCCGGTCTTTCTCGGAGCTGGCTGCCTTGTTTTCAGGGTATGACTGTGTGAGTTTCTCCAGCATCTCGAGACTCTGCTGATAGTCTCCGAGCTCATACAATGCTCGGGCCTTGCGGAAGAGAGACTTTTCGGATGGCATCGCAGGATTGGTGGCATTCTCGGCATCCAACAAGGCCTGCTTCGGGCGGTCCATGTTCATATTCACAAATGAGCGGTTGAGGAAAGCGAGTTGTCTCTCTTCGACGTTTTGACTCCCTTGAATAGCTGAAGAGTACCTGGACGGTTGTCAATTACGTGCTCTTGGCTGCCCAACTGCTTGGCCTGATCTTCAGAGTCAGACAAGCCGAGGTGATAGACATACAGTCGAAGTGCTTCAGCCCATTTCTTGGACTGTACAGCGTCGTTCCCTTCCTTTCGAATATCTGTGCTACTCTCGCCTGTGATCACCATCGATGGCCTCCAGTGCGAGGGAATACGGTCATCAGCTCCGTCCAGCCAGATAATATCACCCGGGTGGTCGACTCTCAGCGAGTATGTACCGTCCGTGGCGCATTTGAAGAAGGGCTCTTTGAGGATGCAGACCATGTTTGGGCTGAGTATCTCAGTGGCAGGGACGATGGTCTCTTCAGGTTGGTGATAGAGCTGTAGCAACACAGCGATTCCCTTCTCATCCTCCACAATGGCCATAACAGCGGTCATGCGGTCCGGGGGCGTGAGGACGCGCAGCATGATCTTCTTCCCTCGATGATGGGTTTCGAGTCTCATGTCGGAGATCATGATGGCTTCCAGGTCGTTGGCGGAAACAATGCATGGTGGGTAAGGCGCTGGGACCTGCGTGGTAGCGATTGTGTTTTCGTCCGACTGGGAGCGATATGAATTGGCCATGAGCTTCATCATGAAGGACGAGACGAGTTGTTGGGGAGGGGGGTGATCTCGCACTGCTTGACCCTTTCTTCGGGCGGCTCGCTCTGCAGCGCCCTGGAGTTGCTTCAGATAACCGATGTACTTGCTCTCGTTGGAGACGTCTTTGATATCCATCTTGAGATTGAAAGTTGAATTGTTGAGGCTGTGTTAGAGTTGGAATGGTGAGTGAGAGTACAGCTTGAGGTTTAGGTCTTGAGCCACTTCTTCTATGATAATTTGGCGGGCCGCAGGTGAAAACAACAGACAGCCAAAAATAAATGCCTCGTCAGGCCATCGCAACGGTTGGCCTCCCACAGGTGACCGCATATTTGTGACCAATCTTGTGTGACCAATGCTGTCCATATATTGGTCAACAGATTTGCGAGACGTTACCCCTCTCGCCGTTTGCCCAATTGAAAACTCAACAACCAGAGGCACATAACCGAATTAATAAGCGCCTAGCCCGTCTTATCTCGATGGGCTGTGGCCGAATGAAAGAGAGTTGTGCCCCCCAGCTAGATGGGTTGTCTGGCATTGCAGCATTTCAATGAGCCTGGTCGCTCTCATGATCAGGTATAGCAGACACCGCGCTGCCCACGATGGCAAGTGACTGACCTTAGGCTCCTGTGAGACCATGGAGAGGTCCCAATCTCCACGTAGGCGTTGCCACGCTGAAGCACCTGATTGGCTGTTTCGGCTGCTGGCCCACTCGATGACTCCCTGGCTTGTTTGCCATTAAATTCCGTCACCTCTTTATAAGTAAGGACTCCTTATATATACTCCTCATGTACTCCGCACACCAAACTGGTAAGAAATGTAAGCATAAATCGAGAACCTCATCAAGCAGAACGCCGCTAATTTCTGCCAGGTCAGCCAGAACTGCGTTAGTTATGATCCTATGCCACATGATGCTAACACCTTTAATTTCAGATGGTGAACTCGTCCGTACGGTCGGCGATCTAAAGTTCCGGAGCCGAAAATAGATATTGCGGCCATGTCGTAGGAATCCTTCGTTACATATTTCTACTCATTAACGAGACACAAATTCCCTCTTCCTCTTGCACTCGCCTCGAATAACTTGAGCAGTGAGATTCGGCAATGCGTTCACGGGCTAGGCAAAATGACAGCAATGCCTACTGTTGACCAATCGCCATCTTCCACTGACACCGCCTTATATTTGGCAAACGGCCGAACTCAATGTGTTTGGTATTTAATTTACAAAAGGAGATGATGTATGGTTCAGATCATGCCAAAAGATAAACAGAGAGGGCTTCAGCGGGCGAAAGGTGTTTGGGAATCACGCCTCGCGATGACATTAACGCTTCAAGACTTGGCGGCAATTGCTGAGGATTCTTGGTGCGCTCGCCATTACTGTAATAAGATATGAAGAAGCGGTCTATTACATGAGTTGGCCAATGCATGGTAAAATGAGATACGAAATGCCTTTGGTCTCACGACTTATGGAAGAAATCTAAGCGTGAAGACGGTAAACGCCAGTTCCTTTACGTTTGCCTACTATCAGGTTCTAAAAGTGGACATATTGCTCTCTAAACTGCAATTAGATGTTAATATTCTGGCGCTAAACTGGATCTTTGTATTTCTACACATATGTAGATAATGGCTTCGGTGGCATAGTTAAGATAGGATATATAAGCCGGACTATATTTTATTGACTACCTAAAGGGGCTAAATGTAGCAGTGGCTATCTAAAGCTTCTTGACTCTGTTTTCTGTCTGCGATATCCAGAATGCGTCGAGCTGTTAATACACTTCGAGCTCGTGGGTTGCTGGTATGTACAGAGATGGTGCGAGCATCATCGCAAAGCCTATATTAAGTGGTTCAACGTTGGAGCTTGCAAGCTATTTATCAGTTATCCAGCACGGCTTGACCTTTCTATCCTCATGAATCCTTACAGCCTCGATGAAGTTACTGAGTACGTTGTTAGCCTGGTTCATATCCAGGACAGTTCGTCTTATCGGTCCGTCTTATCGGTCCTGTGATGGAAGCCAAACATCTTTAGATACGCTTAGAGCCCCGGATCCTTTCAGCAAAGCTGACCAGTCATTGATGGATGCGATCCGCTAGCGTCTCTGGGTTTGTTGGCATTGAGTGGTCCATACCCTACGCAATTACAGTTAGATACAAGCTAGCTGGGTGGCTGTAAACGATGATTATTCTTAACGACAGCTCCAGCAGGAGGACAACGATGATCGAGAGGCGTCAATCTTGAACATGGCGAAAATGGAAAATGGAAAGCTCGTGACCTTATCTGGGGAAGGACATCGCACATACATGGTTAGGGTTAGGGAAGATGCGGTATGTGGAAGCGAAGCGGGGTCAGAGATGGATGGCAACCAATTCTGATAGGGAGGAAACTGAAGAATATGATATTCAAGAGGACATCGGATCTCTCAGTCTCGGGTTGAGGGGAATGTGCCTTGTCAATATATGTAGCCAAAAGTCTAATGGTAAATGGCTAAGGTCACAGATACTGAGCAGACAAGAGGCAGTTATATATAATACTAATCTAGCTAATATTTATACCTTGCTAATCAAGATAATAAACTAGGAAATAAAAATGGCATATAAGCCATATAAGATTGAAGATTGGGAAATATTTTATCGTCTTTCCCCGTTTTGACAACAACATCCTGGCCAAAGTTTATAGTAGTAAACTTACGTCGATGTTCCCACAAGTCACTGACACTTCTTAACACCCTGACCGGTACCTGGTCTTCGCTAATGCCGTGTAATGCGTGCTTGAATACCGCAAGGCGACGATTGTGAACGGACAAATACTTGATTTCAGAAACGCCATTTGTGGTGACCCGCACCTTGACAACTTCCAGGATAGGGAAATCCGCAATAGCGTTGCGGACGTTCTGAAGGCTTTGGTTTGCCAAGTCCATGGCGTTCTGGGCAACACTGATCTCATCGCCAGTTCTTGACCTCATTATTGTGCTTATAGAGCTTTGAGAAAACCCTATATCCCGCACAGGTAGACTATCCACGGCTGCCAGTTCTGGAGTTGACAGAATGCTGAATTTCCGTGTCACGCCCGCCTTCGTGCGGTTCGGGATCCTCTTCACGACTCGGATCATACCCATACCAAGCGCAGCACCTATCAGTGTCACGATAGCACCCAGAACCAATTCACTGGCGATGCTACTCTGGGTTGAGGAAGAAGAATTGGCTCCAGCCGACATCGTCGAGGCATCCATCGTAGGTGGGCCTGCGAGGTGATCATATACAGCTCCTGTGATTGTGTCGGAGGCGGCACCCACGGCAATTGACACGCCCAACTCCACAGCGAAACCGGCGCTCGCTGTCAAAAGTCCAGCCAAGATTGAAACGCCAAATCCCACAGCCATGATGACCGCGTCTCGGCCCGTCACTGTCATGTGGCCACTCGGGTCGCTGTTGTTAATAGGATCGCCGCGACAGTACGTGTAAGGATTGATCTCGTGGGAGACGAACGGGCTCCAGGAATCGGGGGCATGGAAGCGCATCAGGGCCGGGCTGTACACGCGGTAGCCGTTACCAAGGTGATACCATCCTGTTATGGGGTCGCGCCACTGGCCGTTGAATCCGATGGAGGGTGAGGATCCTGTACTGAGTCCATAGGGAGTGTACCCATGATGCTCGACCGGACCGTCATCACCGCTTCGTACAGTGGCTAGAACGGACTGGTTCGAATCAGGAGCCCAGAGTTGAATCTGGGACTTCTGATGGCCCTCTTGGACAACCTCCCCCCAGTATACGTGACCATCTGTGATGTAGCTCGTCTTGGAGCCGCCTTGACTGGTAGCGATGAGAGCCCCGTCATGGTAGTGTAATTCGGTGTCCGGCTTGCCCGGTGCCTCTTGACGGATGAGCTGACCGAGAGCATCGTAGTGATATCGACACATGAGTTGACCGGCAGAATCATAGACGGCACTCAATCGCTTGTATGTGTCATACTGAAGCCTACGTTGCTCTTCGTCGCCAATCAAGCAGCCATTATCGTCGTATAAAAGATCAATAACCTCAGGGAGGTCCTTGTGAGCGTTGGTGATTCTAGTAAGTCTTGTTGGATCTTCTAGATCATACAAGTAGTGCTTGGTGTTCTCGGAACCACGGTCAGAGAGCGTGTAAATCTCGACGAGGTTATTGAAGCCATCAAAGCCGAAAGACTGCTTGCGTAGTTTCCATCCGTTTTCATCTTGTGCTGGCTGTGACCCTTGGCAGTCATAGTCTATCAAACGATCTCGCATGTCATATACAAAGGTCTCATCTCGTAACACACGGCCTTGGTCATCTTCCACTACGCGCTTGATCATCAAGCTCGCGACGTTGAACGTCCGTCGTATCCGATAGATGATAGAACCGTCACTCTCACGGCGGATGCATCGCTCAACCTCGTGGCCGAAATCATCGTAGACCACCTGAATCTGTAAGCCTTGGTCTCCTCCTCCTTCTTCGTCATCGTCTCGGATGCTGGTTTCAGAAACCAAACTTTCTCCGTTGTACTTGAGCTCAACCCTGACCGTTGCTTGAGCGAGCTGTATTACTCTGCCGTGTCTGTCATACTGTATTTCGCGCTTGTGACCATGTACATCTACATAGGAGCAAGGGAGTCCGGCCAGGGAGTATGTTGACGAAGCAGATAGAATTATTCCATCTGGCTTCTCAAATATTTCCTGCGCAAGGAAACCTGATGGTGAATATATCCGCTTCATGGTGGAGGTCTTGCTTTCAAGTCGGAGTATTGCCCCCGTCTGCTTATCGTGCTCAAACTTCACTTCACCGTCGTCGCTCTTGGTGTTTACCAGAGCATGATTTAGGGCAGGATCATAGGAAAAGGTATGATGATCTCCGTTGGCTGTCGTGATGTTCGTGGGATTCGGACTCCCTGAGTCATAGATGGCCACCGAGGTTCGCTTTGCAGCCGTCTTGCTCGTTAACCTCGCAAGGCCATCATAGTCCTGCTGGCCGAGAACCCTTTGGTCGATTTCCATCCTTGTTGGAAGAGAAGCCGTGCTACGGGAGGCGTAGTGTGTTCTAGAGATGCTGCCATCAGGCCCCAGTGTCTCAACGACTCGATCGAAGCTGTCGTAGGTGTATCTCGTGATGCGGTCTAACGAATCCTTTTGCTCGATAAGGCGATCCCAGCCATCATATCTGTAGTTGGTCTTTCCGTGGATTGCTCCATCTGATCTGCGCATCAGGGTCTCAATGGGCTTTCCGGAAATGTTGAACTTGGTCTCCACCATCCCCTTGCCCGGAATGCCGGTCTTTTGCGTCATGGTTATCGGATCCTTTACGGCGAGATGTACAACGCCTGTGGAGTCTACATATCGGCAAACTGTCCCCCAGTCGTCATACTCGGTCCGTTCCACTGTTAGGATCTCTTGGGGTGTACTCTCATGATCCTGAATGAGCCAGTCCATCTTGTCAACTTGAACACGTTGTCCGATTGCGTTGTAGGAATTCTTTTGCATGACCCGGAACATACTCTTCGCAGCTGAAGTGTCATGTTGAGCAACATCTTGTTTTTCCATCTGGACGACTCTTTCCATACCGTCGGTGATAAACCTGGTTTGAATGCCTTTTACATCCGTCTTGGTGACTCCATATATGACACCGTCTTCGTCTACAAGATACTTGCTCTTCCGACTTGCTTCGTATGCCGTCGCCGGCGCCACTGTTTCTTCAACAAGGCTGCCCAAACTGTCATATCGAAACACTGTTTCGGTCCCATGCTGATCTTTGCTGTGAAGAACCCTACCGGTGTAAAGGCAGGTAGAGGTTTCAACACTGACAACATGACCTTCAAAGCTGGTACTTGTAACGGTCTCTTTGCAGGTTTTACCGTCCGGATACTCCCGTACCTTATCCTTTGTCATTTCGTGCTGCCCACCCATCCAAGAAACTTGCGCTTGAATAGAGCCATGATCTCTAGACCCAGTATCATTGACATGGCTATATTCTGAGCGTGAAAGTATCTGATCGCCTTCATAGGATGCCTCCTGACAGACAACAACGAAGTATTTGTCTCCTTTTGCATCTTGGGCCGTTTGCAATTGTGTGTAACGAAATTCCTTGTTTTTTGTCAACCCATCTGCTGCTGGCGTGCGTGATATCTTTTTCAGATAGCGCCTGAAGCCTCGGGGATCAGCTGGGCAAAGCCCTCTCTCCCCATCCTCAGGGTAATACTCTCGAATCGTCTTGGCTCCATTCTTCTCCACGGTCTCGGTCGGGTTACCCCATACGTCGAACGAGTAGTGCGTCTTCTCTGTTCTCAACGCGCCCTTGATGGCAGAGTCTTCGTAAGTTATCTCCACCGTTTTCGGGAGCTGATACTGGGCAGGTTGGTTCTCAAATGATTCCTCCTCTAGTGCGTAATACTCCGTTCTCTGCGTCACGGACTTTGTGTCTTGCTGTCGGCGGGAAGAAACCATCAAATGGAATTTGTTATATGTGTAGGTGACCTCTGCCCCGCCTTCCACCTGGACCGTGGAAGTGTACTGATATTTTGCGCGAGCATTGAAGAGATTATCCCCGTTGGGATCCCAGTCGTTCACGCCCCCATAGCCGAGGAAATTCAAATCAGAATATTCGTATGTCGTAGTCATCTCGGGTTGATGCTTTCCAGGATGCAAGGTTTGACTTATCACGTACGGTATCCGGGTCCTGGGAGCTCCCTTTGGTAGTCGATGGCCATCGTGCCGATAGGACAGCTCCTCCACAAGTCCAGCTGGGCTGGTCAGTTGACGAATCAAAAGGAATGCCCCACTGTGCTCGTACTCAAACTTCCACGAGGGAGATGCAGCAAAATCACTATCCGACGGTAGTTTCAGCTCCGTCAATACATTTTCGCCCTCTCGAATTAGTCTGGTGATGATTTTTGCTGAAGCATCAGGAGATATAACCACATCAACCTCGAAATCCGAATAATCGATCTCGAGCAGAACCTCTGTACCCTCTTTGACTTGAGACAATCGAGGGGTCTCGCCAAAGCTGGTCCATTCAAGATCCAGGGACCGACCGTTGGCAGCAAATAACTTTACAGGGACCGTAACGTTGAAAGTGTCGCCTTCGTTAGACAGAATTTCCATGTCTCCAGATTTATGAATAACGCAGTAATTATCGCCGCTCTTTTCGAACAGAAAGCTTCTCAATTTCTGATCTTTCACCGCCAGGCTCGACTTTGTCTCCTCAACCTGGTAATGCTCACCCGTGACCAGGGAGAGCGTCCTTGACTGACGGTGCTTATACTTTGATAGATTCAGAGACCACCCTTTTCCAAAGCCAATGTCCTCGAGGCTTATTGAGTCAAAACGTAGAGAGAGATCGAAATGGGGACAGTTGCGAATCTCTGCTGGGGCCTGGTATAGGTGGATAACACAGTTGTATTGACCTGTACGGGGGTCGACACTGTGCTCCGCTAGGTTGCCGAAATTGAAGGCCTGGGAATATAGGTTTGACTGTTCTGCCGGCATGATTGCGGTAAAGAGGATGCTGTACTAGATAGTGGCGAAGATTGAGTTTCTTTTCTTGTTGCTTCCAAGGTAAGCTGATATCACTAGCCTCTAGGTTTATTTAGCCATTGGATGTCCTTACGAATTGATTATATAAAGTACGAGCCGATATCAAATCCATAACAGGGAATGAACTACATGGTGGAATGGACGGACTCGGCGGCCCGGACCTGCTAGGATAAATTTGAGGCCCGCTGAGCCCGCACGCGCTAGGGGGCAGGCCGCTTGTTAGTTGTCTCATTTGAGGTTAGATCGCAATAAATCCCTCAGCTGAACTTCACGATCTACACGGGCCAAAGTATAAATCGATTTTTCTGTAGCAGATCGTTAATCCCTGAGCTGAACTGTAAGACATGAGCCGTGACACACACGTCAGCAGCAGCAGCTAACAGTTGCCACTTGCCAGTTGGTCTTTTGATCATCAGCCGATGTTGCTACTTTGCGAAATGTCCGCATGCGTCCAAGTTATTAGAGGGGGTATTCTGATACCTTTGACTTGCCTGCCTGCCCTAGCCAACTCATGTACTCAGTACTATACATGGGGATGCAGCCAAGGCGCGGTTATCGCAGCAGATGTTCTTGTGAAGAGGCCGATCATAACCAGATATTGGCGGTTTTACGCACCGAAAACTCCCTTGATCACGCCGATCATACCCAACAATAGACGGTTTTCTCGTCACAAGGTCGAGGTGCTCGATGTTGCAGATGAAGCTAACGAGCAAAGAAAAAATTCGGTCCCAAGGCAATCAACGTTTCTAAGCATCCCTTCATCTGGCGTGGCGACTTTGCTTCTCGGCTGATGTGGAAAGGCTCATTTGACCTTGCTCCTACATCATCTCGCAAAGGGTACATAATGCAGGTTGATGCTAGAAAGGAGACCTGAGATTTTCTTCTTTCAATAGTAACTTGTTGGTTCCTTAAGCAGATGACAACAAAATCATCCTACATTCCCGTCTGGCAATCTTTCAGTTCTCTAGTACAATCTCAATATGTCTCTTTGGGAAGTCAGTACTATCTCCATCAACACCGTGTCCCCAGATCATCAAAATATCAGTCTCTTCGCCAATGGCCGTCATCAAATCCCCGTCAACGTCTTCATCTCCGCAAAGGAAAAGGGGAGCACAAAAAGATACCAGCTATCACCCGAAGAGCTCAAGTCGGTCCAACTTATCGACTTTGTTACCAATGAGGAATTGACTGGAGACTGGACTTATTCAACTACCAGGAATGAATTCAGCCATAGTATTTCTTCGATGGCCCTTGCCGATTCTGCGGAAAGCCCCGAGACTGCGCAAAATGCGGCTTTCGATAACAAGCGGGACACCATACAATTCTGGATCTCAACAACTGAGATTGCGAGCAAGGAGATTGCGGCTTCCATTACGTCCCCGGAGGGAATAAAGTCCAGCACAAACGGTTCTCACAATTATTCCAGCGTCATCGTGACAATCAAGGCCCCCATAACGTACACAACCGAAGACATTGTCTTAGAGAAGCATGTAGAGGAACAGGGCAGTTACCTACTGGACTGGATGAATTTCTTCGGTGACTGGGAGAAGGCTTGGCCAGGGTATTGGCAAACCAACCACTACGTCTCACTCAGGAACAAAGTGCCGCTTTGCAAATCTGAGAATGTCGGCCTGGACACACGTGCTAATCCTCGATTGAACAACGCGTTTGGGTACTGGGCCAGCGACGGATGTAACTTGCGTGTCTACTATATCTGGAAGTGCGGGCCCGAAACGACCAAAGAGGTCGGTGTTAACTGTAGAGTGTCAATTTGGAAAAATGGCGTGAAGGTCGGCAGGATTGCGCACGCGGAGAAGGACATACGAATAAACCAGAGACCAGGCATGCTTTGTATGACCATTCTGTATTATGCCTGCGAGGATCGGATTTGGTGGCCGAGTTGGTATACTGATCCCTGTGGATTTGTTATTTATGATATACATGGTAATAGGGGCGAGTTTAGCCTTAGCTTTGCACTTGATAGCATTATTGTAAAGAGTTAGACTAGTTACCAAGATAGGTCTCCTAGCTAGAAGATAACTTTTTATTTATGGCCACGGGTCTCTTATTAATTAGTAAGTCCTTCTTGTTGTTACAGAATGCTTGACTTTACTTATGACTAATTAAAGCTATGAATCATTATGTTTCGCTATGGTGGCGAGCATCAGGTTTACTGCCCTGTCTCTTCTGACAAACTATCTGATGTATCGGACTTGATGAATGCGAATGTAACAGAAGTTCGGGAGGGTAAGGTTTGACAGTGATGGAGTTAGTATATCAGCGCAGGACGGGGTTCATGGGTATGAAATGATCGGATCCAGACAATCAGGGATGGCTTTGTAAATTCTCAAGTTACAATAGGCGATTGCTGTAATACTCTTTACAATTGTTAACCAGTAGTAGGGTATTTTAACCTTGCAAGCTATTTATAATCAAGCTTTGTTGAACACAAAAACAATAAGATTTGCAACGCCCCGTGCGCCCTCGAGATCAATGACCCCGCTTGTTCTAACTGCTTTCGTTGCACCAATTTGCGAGCCCAACCTCTGCTGAGCTTCCCCGCTCCATGATTTTCTCTCTTACTCGTGAACTCCTTCACATCCTGCAATTGCAATGCATTGCAATTTGAATGACTTGTTTACTGACTCTGTAGGTGAATTGGTATTGTATTCTTGGCCATGTCCAAGTTGTTGGGATCGATTGTATCTCTCGGACATGTCGGAATGGTAACCCAATGATGATCTCTCATTGTTGCTTCAAAAGAACGCGTGTTGATTGGTCGAATGCTCGTGTGGTCGCGAAGTTGTAGCCGTCGGAGTCATTCGGAGTCTGACAGGCGTTGGAAAGAGTCGTTTAGTGGCGGGCCGTTCCATGGAAACGGTTGCTGGTTCTCCATGACGAGCAGGGCACCAGAGTCGACCAAGTTAGCGGCATCTTCGGTTGAGGCGCAGTAATAGACTTCAACGGCGTCGTCTTTATTCGGTGGAGACCCAAACTCTAAGAAAGCCGCAATTTGTTCAGCGTGATATTGTCGCCAGGTAGGCCAGATGTTACTGTTACTCCCTGGTGCACGAGGTGGAAGACTGCTTAGCCACGTTTTGGTCTCATCCAAAACGAGCTGCACCCATTGCTGGTCCGTTGGTGGTGGTGGTTGTTTACGGGGGGTATTACGCCCAGTTAACTTTGCGTTCCAGTGACACCAGATGTTGTACTCATAGTGGTCGTCATACACTTGTCCAGAGGTCACATGGCGCATTAAATGGCTGAACTTAGCACTTTCCTCTTGCATTAGACTGTGACATTCTTGGAAACACCGTGGTTGCGTCCCCGGATGGCGCAGGAGCTTATCTCGCAGAGCGAGACAGATTATGTACCGACCTTCTGTGTCATCCTTGGCTTTTAAAGAAAAGAGTGCACGCAAACGCAAAGGGTGAAATGGATCTGGATGAGCAAAAGAGCGGCGACCTGTAGCTGGCGCCATTCCACGCAAGGTTACGGCGTCTCTGAAGGTTGCTACGTAACGTGTTTACAAAAGTGGGAAGCTTGACCGAGATGGTGGGGGACATTTGTTGTGATGACGTGACGCGTGCCTGGTTGGCTACGACCTAACGCAGGTACATGACCAGGGTCAGTAGATTTTGGCCAATCGGAAGAATGAAGCAGCATCACGTAATCTCATCTGCCCTGGCTCACCCCTGCAACGCGATCTGAATCGCGTACGCACTAAACATTAGAGTATCTCCACGATCGTATCCATACCAAACATGGCCGACACTATCAAGGCCCTACCAACTCCGCCCCCGCAGTCAAGCAAGAACAAGAACGAGAAACGAGTCCTACGCGCCAAGGAGCGAATATGTGCAGCAGCCGGCTTCGAGCCGTCGGAACTCTTTGGCAAGCATGCTCCTCGGTCCTGGGGACAGAGCCTGATCGAGAACCTCGCCCAGATTATCCAGCTGGCCAGCAGTGGAAAGGCTGGCATTACAGTACAACAAGTAGTCGCTCGAATCAAAGAAGAGGCGAGCCGTGACCCGACGGGGTTGATTACAAACAATATTGTCAATAAAGTCAAGGCGGAGATCCATGCGAAGTCACAGGAATGTGTGCTGCAAGACGAGGAGGATGGGATGGAAGAATCTGACCAGGATGCGCCCATGACCTCGTCGCCATCCAAGGATCGACCTCTCAAAAGACGCCGCAAGAATCTTGCGACCGAACCCAAGCCCCCAGCTGCAGGTACAGAGGACACAGGTGATGATGAAGGCGAACAAGGTTCTCGAGCCATCAGCTCGTCAATCGCCGAAGCAAAAGGCCCCGTAAGTACCCATACGACTATCCCTCGCTTGATAGTTCAATCTAATCCTCAACAGCTACCGATCGAGGAATACCGCAAGCGCATTGCTGCACACCAACGCCGCCTCGAGCTGTTCAAAACCGACCGCGACGCGGCACAATCGCGAATCGACCAAACGGATACACTTAACAACGCTCTCCGAGATGCCACAACAATCCACCACAGCGCCCGCCTGAGTGCCCAAGAGTCCGAGGCCGCGCTCGCCGAGCTCGAGGCGCTGGTCGCAAACCATGGAGACATCCTCCCAGCCTCAGTCCGAAACAGCATCCCCGAAGCGAAACAGACATTAAACGAGGCGAAGCGCAAAGCTGAAGAAGCAGAACTTGTCATGACAGCGGCTCAAAAGAAGGTAGATGACCAGACGGAACAGGAACCAGCGCTCCAGGATACAGTTGTGCTAATGCAGGAGGCTGTTGCGGGCTGTGTGGACGACATTGACAAAGAGCAAAAGGACATGGATGCGGCGTTGTGCATGCTGAGTATGCAGCGTTTAAGCTGGGAGGTCTTGAGGGCAAAGCCGGTGGAGCAGGTGAATGACTTGCGGTCGCTGATTAATGACATTTTGGCGTCTGGGGAATAAGTTGCCTAGGATGGAAGTTTCTCCACGATATGATGGCGTTGCAAGGACTTGGATTGTATGATCATGATACCCAGCATCACTTGGACTTGGTTGATGCTTGCGGAGTTCCTTTTACAGGACTAATTAGACTATCAGCATGGGAGCTTATATAACAGCGCTGGTTATCAGATATTGTGTCGGCAGTTGACTGTTGCTCCATGAAGGCGTCCTGTTGATGGTATTGCGAGGAGCATAATGTTACCATATCCTTTGACAGCATATTCGTGGAGACATCCCAGTACCGCGGGTCTTGTGAGGCAGGTACCTGTTCCTTTTCCAATTAAACGTAAGTGGGCGTGGAATGCGTTGTTATTACAGTCCGCTGAAGATGACATCCAGTGATGCATGAAGGCCAGCAATTGTGGTTGTTGAGGATTTCTGATAGATGTGCTGGAGGTCATGGTTCGAATCCTGCTGAACGTGACTTTTTTGGAGGGCAGTGTGATAATAATTGCCGAACCTGGAGCTAACCCCCAGGCATAGAAAGTTACCCCGCGCTCGGGAAGTGGGACTGGCATCTTAAGATGCATGCTGCATGTAAGAGCTACCCTGAACCCACAACTCATCTTAAGATGCCGCTCACAAGATAGAGGTCAAACATTATATATGCTACAGCTCCCCAGATCGCGATTATCAAAAACCGCTTCAAAAGATGCCCAGGTAAGCGAATGATCCTGACCGCAGAAGACATAAATTGACAGGTAGTAGCCATTGAATAAACCATAAATTAATCAATTGTTGCTCCTCGCATAGAAATTGCTATTGCTTTTGATGCCCAAGACAAACTTCAACTTGACCTCCGATTGGAAATGATGTTGGAAAAGACGTCCTTTAATTCTCTTTTTTCACCAGGCTTAACAATGTGATTTAAAGTGAGATTTTGGAACTGGGGCCAATGCTTTGCACATCGGAGGTAATCGCAAACCGAGCCAAGAATACCGAGAACAAGTCATACGAGTTAAGGCTACAAGCCGCTCTCTATGCTAATTCTGGTTCGGAGCCACTTCTCTGGGTTGCTACCATAGATATGGTGACCTGTCCGTTCACTGAAGTCGTCTGGTCACGATGTGATCCGCCGTCATCATTGTCAGGGAAGCAAGACGAGGTCATACGCCAACACAGGCACAGCGCAGTTACTGTTACTACATCTTTGTCTCTGATCTAGTAACTAAATGTAGCTAAACAGATATCCGGGTTTAAAACAAGTATTTGTTAGAAAATAGAGAACATCGTTAGTCTGCATTGTTGCGAGACGTTGAAGAGGACTAAGTCGCTCAGGTCATCAGCACAACAATAACAGTAGACCTGCGTGGGGTACCTTGGAAATGGCATAGGACTCGCATCAATCCTGGATTGAGGTGGCTGGGGCTTTTACAAGCAATAACCCTATACTACCATCCAGAAGCTGCCCGCAACCGAGCTATATGACGCGGCCACCATGTCTTGACACTCAGACCTGTCTGACCAGGTCGCTTGAACATATGGGTACCGATATCCCGCTTTCTGTAGTGTGAGTCAGAAAGCTGAGGTCATGTGCAGGAGATGCAATTTAGAAGAACTGGCGGGATGTGGAGCGCCATTTGTCGCCATGTGGAAGCTGTACATCGGCATGTGGAGTGAAGAACTCAATTATGCAAATCAAAAGCGAAGCGAAGAATGAATCTAAGGATGTTCCCCAGGAAATCGCTTCTCCTTAGATGCGGGGAAGCTTAATTAGTGTGCCCTGAAAAGCTGGGGAAGAATCTCGTGTCGTCGATTGTGAATCCCCCAACAACACGTTGTAGTGGCTTGGCAAGCTGCCTGCATTGATCTACAAGCGCAATTCCTAGCTGTCAGGGTCTTCAGTAATGAAGAATCAGTGTGGAAACATTCATCTAGCTCATAGATGTTTTGAGTAATTCTTGGTTGTGACATCTATGCCTTAGCAATCCTATTCCGAAATAGTTAGACCGATGCTTCTGCGGTTTACGTATCGGGGAAAGACTTGGGCAAATCCAGAACAGCGTGAAGCCCACAACCAGCACCAACTCAACCAAGGTGGGTTATGCCATTAGTGGGCAGATTCGGCATGTGGGCATGCGGAGTAATGATCACCAGCTACGATCATTGTGATGTACAAGGCCTTGAGTCGTGACCGATAGGAGGTTTCTTCATCGATTGCTATATAAGCTGTGTCTTTTCCGCCTCCGAACCCACAAAGTCTAATCGAAAAGCCTCTCCAGCAAGCCAATCTAGTGTAGCTTACTTCGCTACGTGTCGGCTCCGTTGTCTCTTTGACCATGAGGTTTTCAATCTTCGCCGTGGCTGCATCCTTTGGCTTAGGCCTTGCCGCGCCTACTCAGCATTCAAAGCGCGATGATTGCAGCTCAAGTGACCAAGGTGCCAGGGCCAAATTAACAGTCCTTGTCTACGATATTCTGGACTCGATGGTTTCCCACAATCCTGACACTCTGCCACTGGCAACACAATACCGTGCGACAGAGAATTCCCATCCCGCAGCTCTTGGTTTTATGACTGCATAGCGCACCATTACCAGGGTCGGCAAGCCTAGCCTCCTTGCCATCGACACCACAGTAGGCTCAGCTTATTTCGCCCTTGCAGTCAGTGAAGGGAATGATGAGCTTCAATCAGTCCTGCGAGGCCGCGTCAAGGTCGTCGATGACAAGATCACCGAGCTGGAAATCTACATCAACCGCTCGCGCGGTGACCACGGCTTCACCTTTTCGGCGGCAGAGCTTGCGGAGAATTCGGAATTCTGGACGGATCTGCCTTCCAATCGGACCAAGGCATCCAGGGAGACATTGGAGAAGGTCAGCGCCGCTACTTTCAGCCCTAACACAACCTTTGAAGCTAAGCTGGCGGACGACTGCCAGTTCACTGAAGTTGGAGGGAGGGTGGTTGATGCTGGCCCAAACAGAAACGGTTCTTATGACCCACTTGGATGCCAATTCCCGGGCCTTCCATCCGACAAGAACGCAAGGCTGAACCTAGTGATTGACGAGGAGACGGGGATAGTCGTCACTGGCGCCATTATTCCTGGCATTGTGTATCCCTATGGAAACATCTCTGCTTTCATTCCCAACGAGCTGAGTGCGCCGCGGGTGGCTCAGGACTTGTGGACCAATGTTACATTGGCCGAGGGCGGCACTGGATTGCTGGAGAAGGCCCCTGCAACCGGCGAGGTGTTGGAAGTGGTTCAGTACTACAATAACAAGATCTATGCTGTGCAGGTCAACCTCTACTTGAGCGGACCTGGCATGACCTCGGTCTGGCCTTCAAAGGTTGAATGAGCGCTTAGGCGTGGTTTGTTCGATGTAGGAACGAGGGAAATTGATGAAAGGTTGCAAGAGGCCCTCTGAGACGGCGGTACGCAGCGGTTCCAATAGTCCATAGCTGAGGAGATAAAATTAGTGGTCATCTAATACCTTCTATTATATATACCGGATTGATATCGGTATTTTCCACGACATCTAAGTATATCCGGAAGCAGCTTAAGAATAAAGAGCACGTAGAATCAACGATCACCTGGCTGCAGTACCGTGAGCTTGCTGCCGAGATTTGCTAGCGCATCGAATAAGCTAGGGAGGTTCTTGGACGGTAGACAGGTAAATGTCTAGCGGTACAGGCTAAGTGCTGCGACTCGCTGGGACGGTGGAGGCGACGGGGTGAGCCCTGACGCCATTGTCAGAGACGCAAAGTGGACGATGGTCGTGGTGGGCACACCGGCTCCAATGGAAGACTTGCGAGGGGAAATGATGACAGTGAAGAACGTCTGGTCGTCATCGTTTTCCTCCACGTTCTAGCGACTACCATTCCGTCTGCTGTTGTCTTCCGGAGGTGAGAGAGGCACCTGTACTTAGACACACGAGGCTCTTGTCCTCCTGTAGTAGGTTGACTGTCATCAATGAAGGGGGCAGCGAATAGATCCGGCTCCAAAAGTATCACTTGAACGGGACCGGTAGCGTCGCGGTCATCTTCTGGAGAGTCGTAGGAGATTGTTGTGGTGACATCGTTCAGATATCGCATACGGAGGGCGCAGGTGTCACTCTGCTCTTTTTTCACATCGGGAGGCAGCCTGTAGATGACCTTCTTAACCCTTTCCGGTTCAATCCTGAGCTTAGAGACCGTAAAGAACAGAAGGGCCAGCCATGGGGTACGGCGTCTCTCATCCCCCTTATCCCGTTTGTCACGAGGTACGTGGGCTCGCGATCCCACGGAACGAGGCGGTCCTCCAAGGCGATATAAGGTAGGACGGTAACCTCGCTGTTGCTCCCAGGTGCCAGGTAAACAGAATCAATGCCTAGGGGAAAGCTAAACTTTAGGGACACGACGTAGAACGACTGCATTGTGCCCTTGATAGCTGCATCCTGACGGCTTATCTCTCGATCGGTGTATGACCACTTTGGTAATGCAGAGATCGCCTACGAGTTCGTAATGTCATGATAGCGAGGGTATGTAGCAGGAGAATAGACAGGTCTCCCAGCCTCTGAATTCCCCGGAAAAGTCCTCATCTGGCACATATCCTCGACAAGAACTGGCAAGACAGCGGGACAGCTCCTAATCCTCTGACGGCCCCAGCTTGCTCAGTTTCCCGCCAACTCGGATCAACCATGATGCATAGGAAGGATCTCGCCTGTCGAGCTTGTGCAGCTTGTGGCATAGATAATGTACCTGGTGCCTGGCTCGTCCCGCCGAATACCCAGCTGCGAGAACTACCAGACCGTGTAGCCCAATCCCAGCTTTCGCAGTTTCTCCATCAGAGAGTTGGAATTAGTTCTGTCAGCGAGGACGCAGTTTACGCTGACAAGGCAACCCGCTTTGACAATAAAATAGACCACAATACGCCTGTCTTTGTGACCTGCCTCCGCATCCTTAGGCATCTACGTAGCCGTGACCGATGTCCGGACAGTAGCTCTTTCGGTGCTCTCATTCACCATGGTGGTCGACGAGGAAACGGACCGCTACCTTCTTTGCATCTATGTGATACATGTGGCCGAGGCTGGTGTTAGTTATGACAGACCCCGCCGTCAGTTCGTGGATGGGCTGCCAGGCACCCTGGTTCCCTAGTGCCCACTCGCCAATATATGTCTTGCCGTCCAAATGAAGCATGTTTGGAAAGGTAATATCTCAGCATTACTCACGACTAAAGGAGGCATACGGGGGCAGGAACAGATGAACTTAAACCATCAGGTGGAGAAAGGCCAGTTACTTGATCCTGTCAACATAGCCCTTCAAGGAACCAGCTGTGGCTTGAGATCCTTCAAGCTAGTTGTAGAGTTGAAGGGGCGCAATAATCAGAGCTGTAGCGAGGGCACAGTCGACGTACGTACGTCGATGATAGACGGAAATATGATATTGTCAGAGGCGACAGACGATAGGCAAGTTTCAGAGTGCTTACTTTGGCCTTAGAAATGAAGGAGGTGAGCTGGGACGGGTAGGCGAGGACATGGCCCACATTCTTCTCACCAGGCTTTTTTAGACCGAGAGCATCGAAAACACCCGCGCGGAATGAGTGAGTTTCAAGGCGGGGGATGTTGTTGGGTCCGCTTGAGAAGAACCTGAGCTTCTTTTTCGCGAGCGGGCTCACGACTGTTGTCAGGCCGACATAACTTACTTAGCGGTGGTTGTGTTGCCTATTCTCAGTTTATTGGCGCGAACTTGAAGGCGAGTTTGGGTCAATAAGACAGAATTGTGGCCAAGAGGAACTTAGTGGCGATGAACGGGAGCTTGGCCGAGCTGTCGAGGCCGTCCTATGCCAGAACGGGCTTTTGTTTGTTATTTGGAGACGTCCTGTCAACTGCATATTCTGCCGCCGGGCGAAGCTTACGTCGTATACCCTTCCCCAATCAATTCCGCCAATCAATCAAGGCGGCGCAGGCATCTCAGTGCAGCTAAGACATGCACTATCGTCGACGTGCAGGCGACTATTTGCATTGTGACCGCCACCACCAGCGACTAGACTGGAGCAACTGGCCAATAGCTTACGTATTTACACTCCAACTCCGCTTGAAGAAGCATTGGTGTACGGACTAAAATACATTAAAATGGCTCTAATGCAGTTGTACGAGGTGTCAAAAGATAGGGTAGCCCTGATCGGTCTAGCTTCCCTGATAAGGATTCGATGCTGCATATGTATATAAGGAGCTCCACTCCCCCCATCCTATGCTAGAATTAAGGCTCTCCTCCGCTGTGCGTGTCATACCAGGAAATACAACGAGGAATACCTCAGGGGAAGTCCAAGTTGCCCAAGCTCCAAGTCTGCTGCTGCCACACGAGCTGAGAAATAGAAACTTGGACTTGGAGACCGGGCAGCACAAGCCCAGCGAGTATTGCCTCACAATGGCTACGAAAGACAACGAGAATAGACCCTGTGAGGCGCGCCAGGGTGTCTACAACCAAGAGGCTCGGCTGAACACGGCCTTTGTCGTTCCTTTTGATCCAGCTGAAGACCAAGATGACGGTACTACAATTAGGCGACCTGCAATGTCATCACGCGGGCTAAAAGAACCGTTTCCGCTCTGGCGTCCAGCGGACGAGTGGGAAAATCCCATCTGGGGCTGGATGCTCATCAACTACGCCAACCAGGGCCTCCAGCTGTTTCTGCAGGACGGCACCTTCTATCGCGAGGTTCGGCTCCCCGGCCGCAATGGAACTCAGAGCTTGCAGACCTGGGAGCCGTTTGGACCGCCTATCAAGGATCCTGACCTCACCAAGAAGCCAACTCGCCAGCTCGTCCAACTCCAGCTCCTAGTGGCCCGATTTCAGGACGAAGCCTTTCTCCGTGACTTCTGGGCCATGGCGGTCCGCGCTGCCAATAAAATGGAACCCGCACCGAACGCCTTCTCCGACTTCTCCAACGCTCTGATTGGACGACCTCTGGCTCTTGCGCATGCGGGCTGGTCCTTGGAACTTGCCAGGCTGCCCCTCAGCAAACAGGCTGTGGGTGACAGTCAGACGAGCGAGCCCCTTAGTAAATATGTGTTCGACATTAAAGTCGGGAATGCTTCAAGTGGTTTTGACGGGCTAGTGGGAGTCTTTGACTGCGAAGCTGCTCCGGGACAACAGGACCTCGGCTTGGTCTTAGACAAGGTTTATAGCGACTTTGATCACGACCCCTCGAGTCCGACTACATCGCAGCCCGCGCTGCCATCGATGGCGAGCGATGGAAACCGTTTGGATGATTCTCCAAAGCGGATTCTGCCGAGCAAGAAGATCCCTCTGCGCGCTTTCTACATCTCACCGGAGAATGATGACGGCAACCGCCGCCGCAACCCAGAGCTCGTCGTTCGCGGCGTACTTATGGATCCCTTCTCTCCTATACACACGTACTCGGACAGTCTCCCGGTGCAAGAGCTGGTGCTTCCGGCGTGGACTTGGCAGCGCACTCTAGCAAATATAAAAGCCTTCTTGCACCTGGGACCGTTGGTTGTCACCCAGGATGTCCCGCCCGCGATAGCACCAGGACAGGAACTACGATCTGAAACTCCAGTTGTCCTGCCGGATATCGATTCAAAGAGCGAACTCGAAGCTGTGAGGTTGCCCGTCTTAGGGAATAGTGATTGGGCCTGGTTGCAGCCATGTTACCCCGATAGCAAGGGTGCGGCCGGCGTAGAGGGGGAGGATAGCAAGCGCGGCAAAACTAATGGCGAATGAAGTGATAGCAGCAATGTTAATACGAAGAAATATAACATTAAGAAAGATCACGATAATTCATTGCGAAAGTCCCTAGAGCAATACACAGCATTGCCAGTGAAGGCTGAGGATGAGTATGTACGGTATGAGCCAGGTCCCTATACCGCAATCGGGGGCTATTTATTAAAGGTTGGGAGGAAGGAAGATAGGGATCCTAACTTTTGAAGTAACTAATCAGGTGGGAACTAAAACCAATCTCAATGCAGACGTTGGAAACAATCGAGCCTTTTCGCTGCACTTAGCGTTATCCATGATATTACTCACAACACAACACAAGACGATACTTTCAACGACGGCAACCTGGGCAGTGAAGATGGATCAAGAATGCCCAACAGGCTCTAGCGTAGGAGTGGCTACGTGTCCCCCTTTACAACTACCCCCGGATGTGGAAGAATCCGTAAAGCCCCAAGGGACAGGTCGAGGCTCGTGGTCGACTCCATCGATCCGTCCCGACGGACTTAGTCTCCAGCTGACCACGAACAAACATTGACAGTCTACATCCAATATTAAGCTTGAATTATTCAGTATTCGTGACTATAGGGGCATCAAACTAGCCAATGTCTCAGCCACAGCCAGCTTGAAAGTACTGAGCACCCAGAGGTTAGTAGGTAAGCAGCGCCCAAGTCACGTCGATACAATAATTCAGCGGCTCTATCGTCCAACATCTCTACCTGCATCACATGCGGGACGACACGTCTTCTACGGCAGACCGTGAGCGGTGACAGAACTGAAAGGCGAAAGGCGTGTGACTGTTAGAGAGCTAGACCTATCAAAGGTATGCTCTGCGCACTGGCGTGAGCTATCCCGCGAGTCTGGGCACCTCGAGTTCGGAGATACTATGATTCCAGATCCGATCTATCAGCTCTGGTTGCTGAGGTGGCTGGTGTTGACCCTAGCATGCTGCCGTCATTGTCCGAGGGCTGAGACTGTGCCGGTCTAGAGTTCAAGGGGGATGTCAACCGCCTCTGAGAGACATCATGACACGCAAGCACCGGTGTCAGCGTCCTGTTCCGTCCATCTCCACTGGCTATTGGATGCAGTTGCGAAGTGATTCGGGTTGGAGTTGGCAGCGTTGCGTCGTCGCCTTTCAGACCACCAGCACAAACGCTTGTTTGATCTTACAATCTTGATTCTTTAGCGCCGCATTGGCTGCTGCGCCCTTGGCCAACCTCCGTCGTCATCATAGACAACACAAAGTGCGGAGTTGTTTCGTACTTCCTTAATGTTGGGCTAGGCGATGGCATTATCGTGCTCATGTTTACGGTCTCCACAGTTCAGCGTATGAAGAAAGTTGAGCGAGCTGTCCTGATGCATGGCGGACCGGATCCCTCAAAGAACGGCCATGGAGACGGCCGGGGCGAACCGCACCATAATATACCGCTGGTAGCGACGATGTCCAGCGTGAACATCGACCGAGCCATCAGGGACATCGAAAGAGACTTTGAGTGTCAGGGCGACCCGGACAGGATAGAAGACCGCAAGCGTCTGGTCTTCGATGGGTTTGTTGAGACACACTGGGACAAGGATCTCGCTAGGGGCGTCATGTGGTACCCCCTGCAATATATGATGGGAAATCGGGATTTCAGCATCCTCAGTCGCGCGCGCTATGACAAGGATGACGAGCTAGAGACATACTTCTATGCACCGACTTAGAGGGATCCCACAACCTAGGATACGGCTTACGACAAGACCTCCTCGACTAGTATTACTGGTAATAGGGAGCTAGGAGAAACTGACGAGGGACTGCTCCAGATTAAGGTAGAGACAGACGGACTGCGCCCGGCACAAACATTTAAGAAGCTTCTTAAGATGCGAGTGGGTATAAAATGGCTGGTTGAACGTAATCTCTTTGCTGAGGACAACACAGTTGTTTCCCCCAGCGATCGAGCGAGATGCTAGAGCCTCAAAAAGCTCATCGAAACAGTGAGGCACACCTGCCCACCTATATAGATACCACTACTACGGGAAGGGCGCTGGCATTGTATTGCGTTGCGTTGGACCGAATGGTGATTCACGGTGACTTCCAGCCAACAATCGCCAAGAAGAACGCCGAGAGGATGCGTTCCCTTGTGGTCAGGTCTGAGCTTGACAACAACCAGAAGCCCACAAACGTCTCGGTTTCTCACTACCTGGGTGGCGATACATACCACATACAGCAAGGTCGAGTTAAAGATCTACGAGTGGATGGAATACCTCCCAAGCCACAACAACTCGGTACTTGTAGTAAAGCTTAGCCATCACGACGCTAGCTCTTCGAACCCAGACGAGATGTGGGAGTGTTTAAAGCCTATTTTTGTCCTTGGTTGTTCGGGTAGCGGAAACACACATGGCCATCCACGTAAGCGGTAAACCCCTAAATACCCCTGTTCTCTCAACAGCGAAAGGTTAGGTGCTTGCTAACATGGAGAGGCCATTCGGGATAGGAGATCGTTACTTGTATATACACCAGATATATGTAAATGTCGTACCCAACCGCTACCTGGCCCGGTTTCTCCTGGAGAACTGGTCAACCTTTCTCGGTAAAACATGGTTCGATATTCCTAAAAAAACACGGCCTAACGTCAAGGAACTCTACTAACATGTGCTCATGGGAACAAAGACAGCGTGAGAGCAGGTTCCAGTCCATCGAAGCAAACAATATAACAATCCTATTCTGCAGTGGTTTATCACTTACAGTCTTGCTACTGAGCTGAATGGGGAACTTCTAGATGCCTATAACCCTAATGCTCAAAGGGCGGTGCTTTGCGCATGGCTAGAAGAGTCTTTCGTCCGTCGACAAGGATGGTCTAGGATGACTTACCGTTCATAGACGCCAACAGCCTTGTTCTGGTATCAGAAGGTATCCCTAAGAACGTCACCCTTATGCCCCATGCCACGATCACGACCGACAGCCGGCTCAACCTCTTTGTCCGAGATCTAGCAGGCTGCTGTCGACAGCACAGCCACTCACCGTCACAACCGGCTTCCCTGTCAAGATAATCGTGCCAGTGCCCCTGACGGAGGTAGATGTCTTACGATGCTGGCTTGGCAACATATCCCGGGTTGTCGCCGAGTCCATCACGGTGCGTTTTAAGCCCAAGACAGAGCCTCTGAACTGGTCAAGGAGCCTCGATATATGACAAAGGGCGTAATATGCTCTGGTACACAGCAAATGCGGCCGAAATTATGACGCTTCGCCTGGAGTTTGAGTTGATGGACGACGCATGCAAGACTTTTTCTGGCTGGCGCACCCCAGAAGAAATTTGAGCTCATAAACGTCTCCGTCGTGTTGAAGAACACCATGGTCTGTCGTTACACGGCCACGAGTGATATCGCCATTTCCCGTGGTGAGATCGTCATCCGGCTCGATCTCAGGCAAGGCAGTGTTGCTTTCTCGGCTATTGTATCAATCGGCCGGGCTAGCCGGGATGAGGTGACACTGCACCACCAGCAGGACAAAGGAGTGAGTAGTAGTTTTACGCTTGCCAATGCGGTGGATGGGGTGGCGAAACCCTTGGTCCACCGGGTTACAGATGAGTGCAACTATCTCCTAGTACAAGCGAAAGAGTTTCTCGAGGCTGCGAAGCCCATAGCGTTGGAGTTCGGGTTTGCATATGGAGCGGAGGGTGGTTTAGCGGGTACTCAACGTATGGAGACAACCATGCAACCTGAGTTGAGCGTTGGGAAGACACACTCTGAAGATCCCATCGTCTTATTTATGACCTTTGCTTGGACGCCTCGTGGTGGAGCTTCCTATCGGGGTAACCTTTGTAACCGAGAAGTCTGTATCGGGTCTATCACACACTAGGGCATCAGAAGGTTGTTGATGTTATGTTACTCTATCCAGGATAGCACAGTAATGAATGGAAACACAGTAACAAGAGGTGAAACGGGAACAGGAGATAGTTATGCTGAGTTTCGTCTACTTGCTGGCTGTCTGCCATTCACGTTGCAAAGAGCACTCTATTGCAAACCCAAAGACCCTCGCATACCATCCTTGCGCCCACAAACTCAGCTCCATGCAGTGAGGTGCCCCCAGGACGAAACTACCACCAGCCCTAGGGCTAGCTGAGAACGATTTAGTACATGCTTCTAATCTCTCCTTCGAGACAATAAAGAAAGGCTCCTGCTCTGCTACAGCGTACATGACGGGAACTCGAACATGTGCCGCCCATTTTGCCTTCCAGCTGGGAATCCAGGATTCGGGCAAACTCTGGATTTCAGCCAATGGTATTGGTGCATCAAGCTGCTCCGTAAGCTTGAGGATGCTGGGGTGCACGGTATTTGAGCGAAACATAGTGGCATCTTTCTCCTTGGGAGAATTCAATGCGTGGCCCATGGGGTCAAGCGACATCTTGAGAAAGCTTTCCATTATATGAGGCTGCCAGAGGTCGCCCAGGCCGGAATAAATAATTCCACTTAGTACATAAGAGGGACTTTCGTCCTTGGCATGCATAGCTGCTGTCGCTATGGTAAACATACTGCCAAGGCTATGACTGAAGAGCACGATTGAGTTGCATTCATTGAGGACCCCGTATTCAGCCCAGAGTGCAGGTAGAATGTATTTGTGTAGTCGAACACTCGTCTCCATTTTGGAGGGAGATGGTAAAGTGTTCCATGATCTGAAACCAGGGGTAGAGTGTAGTATGACGCGAAGGGAGAATGAATATGTTTTAAGCAAAGATATTTTATAGCATTTATTCCGCTACTGTGGGACGAGATAATTGGAGGCAATCGTATCCATTGTTAATTACCATTACTCCAAAGTGTCGGTGATAACTATAAACTCCGTGAAACTCCACATGTAACATCGCCACTTCGTAGCGAGAAAGCAACCGACCAGGGGACTAAGTCATTGTAATGAGTCAAGATGGCTAGGCTAACAATGACGATCGAGAAATACCACTTACCCTCACTTCTTGGGCTACCAAAATTTCGATTTTCTATACAAAATCCGGATTCTTAATGACACTAGATTTAAACTGACTTTCACGAGCACTACTGCTCCACCACAGACATCAATGGCCTCATTGTAATTATCATAAGTGCTTAGTAAGTGACCGAGCCTATCGGTAAGTGCTTTGCCAGATGGCCAATGACTGCTAGACATCAGATATCTGGCTAAGGCACTTATGCAGACTGAATGTGTCAGCGATATTCTTCTGACTCCCTTCATTCGCCCTTCACTTGTGACTGCACGAGCTGCCATCATATTAAGCGATCGCCACGACAGCATCTGCAACGTGTGTGCCTCGCTAGCCGTTTGTGAAAGAGACATAAATAGAGAAAGCCATCGGAGACGATTGGATACCATCATAGTCTTAACCGTAGAATATGTCTACTATTCGGTCTCTTATGAGTAATCGGACTGTGGCGACAAGCGTTTCCTATCGTTGGTTGGCATGATGAATAGGATTAGACTTGCTTATCGTTGATACAAGCCTGCCTAACAGTTTATAGTTCAGATTTCTACAAGCATCATTTGTTAGCGGTAACTCTTGCTAATTGGCTCATTAGTGATTCTTGTGTATTTTATCGTCATCTTCCGGTTTCTCGAGTATCAGATCCAGACTTTACACTCTCGTCGAATTTGGAGCCTAATAGATGGCCTCCGGGAAACCAATAACAAACGCCGAAAGAGTGGCCCGCAGCATCGCCAATTGACGAGAAGCTAGTTAGACGGTGTAGATATGATATATTAGGAGATTTACTTTTCGGATCGCTGGGTGTCGGTGGCAATGGCCTACCCTTATTGCTGTGGGGTCCACTTTCAAAAGATTCGTCGAAAATCTCACAGCGGAATAAAGGTTCGCAAACGTGATGGAGTTCCCACCTTTCTGACTCCTTTTTCATAATGACGTTGCCTAGTGGTTGTAGACTATGATTAGCTTGCGTAGGAATATAATGCCAAAACTGCCATCGACAGATGTCTTACTTCACGGTCCAAGGAACGTATTGAAAAGATTACTGAAAAGACCTCCCGATATCTATCATTCCTCGCAGGCCATGCTCGGTATACTAAGAGCTAGGCACCGGCGTTGGATCTACTGTCTGCAGTGCTGTGCTCCCAGCCCAAAAGCTACGCCGCCTGCCCTTTCCACAGGGTCTCAAACAGAGATCTGACGGAACTGGGAACGCCCAGAACATGCTGTGATATCTTCCACTGAGTTTTACCTAGTCGAACGATACAGAGAGGTCAAAGACTACCTCTTCAGCGGTTGCGCTAATGACCGCCCCCTTGTTTGGAATATCAGGCCGACCTTCTCATCTCTCACCCATGAGTACAATCAAGAATACGGTCATCAGAAGATACTCACGACAAATCGGACGTTCTGACCGATCCAAATATCTATGGGATATGGCCAATCAGCCCCGATGCGGCGCCGATAGCCAACTCAACCATTTAACGTCTTCCATCGTACCGAAACGTCAGAGTAAATTAGAAATCACCCAAAGACAACCGGCAAAAGTTATATCACATTTATAGCCAATTGGGAACTTTTTGGCCTTATCTGATGCAAGAAATTTGAAAGGTTACTGCTTGTGGTTGGCGAATGGCTGAGACTGGCTGTGCGGGAAATATCATTAGCATACTTGTATATCTCTTAGCGTGAAGTTCACTTTGTGATGGTTGACCTGCCGTGTGCTAGTCTAAACTGGGTATCTGCAGAAAGGCGGTGTATATGCTGAGCAGAAAACGACTTTGAACTTGACCCCTTACCTTCATAAAATGAAAGAGCTGGACAATAGCAAGACCGTCGTACCAAGCACAAGAAGGGCACGAGTAGGTGTAACTTGGTGACCAGCGGCACCGACAAGAGAAGCGGTTGGGGCAGCATTCTGATAGCAGGCTGGAGGCTCCGCAAAACTGCCAACATAACGGTTATAGCCAGGACACTTGGCATAGTTGTCGATGTAATGGCTCCGACCACCTTCGGTGAGGTAGTACGAGAAGCATTGTAAGACACAACACACCCATCGCCAGTAGGCCTAACACCAGTAGCAAAGTAAGAAGCGCCTGAGGGAGGTGAGTGTGAACCGGAAGTGCTGGTAGCAAGAAACCTGGAGCAGCCTGTGGCTCAGTGAAGATGCTAATATAAGAGTTGTAGTCAAGACACTTTACATACTCGTCGATGCAATCGCTCAGACTAACTTCAGTACAGGTAGCACAGGTCGCGCTGCATTAGTCAACTCATTTGCCAGCCAGGACAACAACGACAAGGGCCTCCAATAGTAGTCCGAACCAGACGAAGTATTTATTTTTAAGTGATAGGTGAAGATGGTGACTGAAGGCTTTGGATAGAATAGGCGGTGGTGACAATATAAACATTTTCTCGTATTTTTGTATGCAGCTGGACCAGCATTCAGTGGCCTCCCTTGTCCAGGGATGTCTCCTCTAACGCGATCGAGCTGTTGTCAAAGATGCCTCTAGGCTTTCAGCCTTAACAATCGACCGGATCCTTGATTTTAGTATTTCCGGAAATCCATGAAAAAGACTCTGCCTCGCGCATGTAAGACCGTAAATATAGTGATAATTCCTTGCCTCGAGGCATCGTTACGGCGTTGTTGTATGCAAGAGAGTGATGTGCAAAAGCAGTGTTGAAAACGTGGCCGAAGTCGGGCTAGGTTAGGCTAGGTGCCCCGATGGTCAGGGGATGCAAATGCGTTTTGAACCCCCACTGTAGACCTCTAGCTAACACAGTAACACAGCAATCACAACTTGGCAGCGAGTGTTATTGGCTCATTCAAATTGTGAGTTATTTATAAAGCCCCTCAGCCTCCCTTGTATACTGTAGGGCTAAACTTTAAATCATGCGATTAATCTTTACAGTTTACATATTCAGCTAGTAGGATTGTTGGAGCTACCCAAACAGGCAAGGTTGCAAACCTAGGTTATCCCTTGGAGTGCCACAGCCCAGGATGTTAAAGGCCTCACTAAGCTTATTTCAAGGTTAGTAGATGTTTGGCACCAAATGGCAGCTACGTGGGCAAATCTGCTGGGTGCAACAGGCCATAAATTTGTGTTTTGAATGAGTTATGTACACAACTGTAGCCAAGTTTGTTGCCTGATGATTTAACCGGGAATCCACTCAGGCTCTGATAAACGACGCTCGCTGTGACAAAGCGTTCTCCGTAGCTGTAGCCAAAGGTGTTTAACAGCTCTGCAAAGCTCCGTCGTTTCCTGTTTCCGCCCATGCCCTCGCATTACGCATCAAAGCTTGTCTGTCAGTCGATACAATAGCCGCTCTAGATGTGTTTCCGCCTAGGGTCGCCAACGAGGCAATCCTTTCTATTAGCGTCCTTTATTCTCATATTGATTTGGGTTCTTGCTTTAGTTTTGAGCGCCAATCGTGATAGCATCGGGGTGCGTCAATAAGATCTCGAGGGTTCCTGCGGGGTCGCTCGGTGATGGTTTCAACACTGCACCCGACACAGTCATTTTTCACTCGCTAATGTTCAACCACAGACTACTTTTAATACGATATACTCGAAGCCGATCATACAAGCTGATGAGGTACCTAAATACGACCGACCTCTGATACTCTATGCCTACGCCGAGTCCGATGCCGCCCGCGCCAATCTGAGTATTTTGTCGTCGTAGGCCTTCACAGTGCTGCCGACTTTATCTTCATCTTCAACGGGGAGACCGACGCCGATTCTCTCATCCCAGATGCGCCGAACATCCGCATCGTACATCGAAACAACACATGCTTTGATCTAGGCGCTCATGGTGAAGTCTTAAGAGAAGATGGTCTCTGGACACACTATCGTCGCTTCATTACCATGAATGCAAGTATTCGTGGACCCTTCCTCCCATATTGGGCTCAAGGCAAAGGTGCATGTTGGTCAGACCTCTACCTAGCCAGGGTCAACGAAAGGGTTAAGCTGGTTGGCATGTCAGCAAACTGTATGCCTCGCTTCCACATTCAAAGCATGATCTGGGCAACGGACTCGGTGGGTATGGAGCTTCTACTGTTGCCCCATTCTAGCACCTCTTCACCTGCCGACGGCTTTGGGGCGGCTGGGGCCCCAGTGGCCTTCCATTCGTGCTATGACGGATGGCACTCAGCCGTCCATGCCGAGATTGGGACGGCAGAAATGATCATTGAAGCTGGGTACGATGTGGACGTCATGATGGAGGCATACCATAAGTCGGAACGGTTTCGATATGATTGCCATGCGGATGGAGTGGGTGATTTACTGTTTAATGGCCGCTACTTTGGCTCCAACATCCATCCTTATGAGACCATTTTTATGAAAGCGAACCGAGACATCGATCCCAAACTGCTGAAATCACTTACGGAATGGCATTTAGCTGAAGGGAGGAGGAGTTGGGATATGTGTTAAGGCCATATTTAGAATGAACTTTGCTTTGTTCAGAGCCTTTCTTTTGCTTCCCTTATTACTGCTCCAAGGTTATCACAGCATAGGTAGGCAAGTCGACCATCGACTTCGCTGTACAGTCATTAAAGCCTCTCGATTGCTTGGATGGCGGAGGAATGCTGTATCCACTTCAAACGATAGTCTGGAAGGGACACTGTTGCTCAATTTGACTTGCCAAAGCACATCGGGATTATGCTTTTCCCTGGATTTGACGTTTAAGGTCATTGAGTGTCGCGCGAGATGCGAGCTGACAATGCCGCGTTCAATGTAGGTCATCTTGCAGTCCCGTCCGAAGACAACTATTTATCTACGTTTGATCTTGGCCTGCTCTGTGATCTACTCACATCGCGGGAGACAGTGGTTTCGGATAGTTGTTTTCAAGTCAGGTCATTGAGAAGTTTAACAGTTACAATTCGTCGAGGGACATCCATACTCGCTGGTTACACGGCATAAAATCAATGGCACCACTGAAGCACTGAATGAGATGCTCTGATCTTATTACCTGAGTGAGAGGTCAATTCTGAATTACGTGATGGCATATTCCGTGCCTCGGATAACTATGTAAAGTTGTGTGCGGTCTGCAATTGGGGGCAAAGGCCTACGCGGCAGACAGGTGTACCTATCCGTGGCCCAAGAATGTTCTAGCCGGATCATTTTCAACGAGATTTGGATAGTGCTGAATAGGGCAGCTTCATGTTGAAGGCAAAATGACCGGATCCAGGGCGAGCTATATCTGGCACTTGAAGTCGGGTAGATTCGGGACGTAGCTACTGGTGTCTAGACGTTACTTTTAAAACCTTCGTTAGCAAATTAGTTCCCTTATTCTCAAGCACACTACCCCCTCGATTCAACAGCAACTACATCGCCCAACATCAAGCCGGACTGATCGTCTCGATTCCTCACTATGGAGTTCACTTATCCGGAGTAACGGAATTAGCAACATAGTAAACGTTTGTTTCAGTCTCTAGAGTAGCAAGAGCTGGAAATGCCATGCATGGTACTCCATCCCTCGGTAGTGACCACTTTGTTTGCCGTCATCTGGAGATAAGAGGTTTGTACTGCCAACCCCGGAAATGGCTAATAGGTATACGGTACCGCGCCTCGGAAGTGCCTATCGGGTATCCCGCACTTCGGAAATCACTGTGCGAATGACCGGAACCCGGACACGATTGTACGGTACTCCGTAGTTTGACGGCAATTACTCACATCACTTTTATAGTCTCGTTCTGTAATCCTGGTCATTAATTGAAATATAAAATATTTTGTGTTCTTTCCCGCAATCAGGTACCAATATTGTATAAGACTTATGCCATATATACTCACCAAGGTTTGGATTAAAAACATCAGCAGGACTCGACAAATTGACCAGGAACATCCCCAGCCGTTTCATGAATATCCGTTTGCTTGAACCCGACGCAAACGGACGGTCCCCTTTGTGAGCAGACGAACAGAGACACCAAAATCAGGAGTTAGATTTAATAAGGGGTTACATTTCAACGGTTTGAACTCGCCCTCTGACAATCCCGAGGTCGATCTGCACGGTGTCAAGTCATCAGTGCTTTCAGTTTCCTAGCAGAGGATGCAGCTCCCCTTGGTCCATAGCTACCCGAGGCTAGAATTATGCGATGAGGTGCAACACAATCACGGCCAGAGGCCCGAGGCAGCTGTGAGGTCGAAGGGTTGGCCAGATCTGTTCGACTTCTTTGAGCGGAGAGGCCACCTAACTTGATGAAGACAATCTCGTATATTCGCTTCGCGTTGCCGGCCAAGGAAAAGGCTAAGTCAGGTACCTTGTTCACGAAACTCACTTAAGAGTCGATTGATTTCCCTTCAATATCGACAAACAGATTTTCATGCTGTGGGGGAAGATGTAAACAACCTACTTGGCTTCGTGAGATCGTACTACATGCTTTAAAACGCTTAACCCCGTCAACTGCCTCCCCATGGAGGAGAGTGGTGACTTTCCCAAGGCCTTTGTCAGTCACAACATCTCCAACACTGATCTCGAATTCCATATTCCACGTCTAATAAAGTTATTATTGCACTTGAAAGTGTTAAAAATTGCGAATTGCAGGAAGACAAAATACATATTAATTGATATTAGTAAGACCAGGACCCGGCTTTTAAGGTCGGTAATAAAAGCAATTCCGTGATTTATATCTATGTTACCTCTTGCCCGGTCATTGTGATCTGCTCTGTAATAGTGCAGTACATTTTGCAATCCTTTCGGCTTATAATAACGTGTAAGTATGTATCCTACCGAATTATATAATTAGCTGCTTAAAGCTATGTGTATAGCCAATGTGCAATTGTAGTGCTGCATCTTAGACAAAAAGGTCAATCTTTATCGGCTTTAGCCGCTCTAGGCGTAAAGAATTGACTTGGATAGTCTTCCGTGTCTCACAAATGACACTTCAGGGGTGACTCAGAGGATCGGGTTGCGTCAGCCTGTTATTTCTGTTCCATGGGGGTTGAAAATATGCAGCTAGGTCCCTTTTCATCCAAACCCAATGCGGCCGCGCAACCAATAGTCGTGCTTCGAGAACACTACCTCCTCTATCAACTAGGGCTTGCTTCCAAGATCAGTCGTGGAGATATTTCCGGGTGTACAAGTGGAGCGGTGCGATTGGCTTCTTGTCAAAGGAGTCTTGGATAGAAAAGTATCACTTAGAACGCCCCCACGGAAATGAGTTGGATGGAATATCCAAGGAAAATAATTCTCCCCCGGGCTACAGGCCGCAAAGCGGGGTAAGATGATGCTATATTGTGCGGCCTATCTGGCGAACCAGTTGCCTTGTTTTCAAGCCAGGTTGTTTGGGGCAGATAGTGGCTTGCGTATTACTCAGTTGCGCATAAATCTATTTGTAACACGCGTGGCCGAATTAACTGACATTATCAGGCATAAAGCTGGAGGGAGAGCTGTCCAAACGCCACTTTGTTCCTCTGTCTATCACTCCACGATTCAGTACAGAATGGAACCTCCAATAAGTCTCCTAACGTCTGGTCTTGAAGACGAAAGTATTGGTAGCAACTCTCTGGCCATCCCCTCTTTCAACTTTATCTTACCAGCCGACCGAATACTCCGTTACCCCTTGGTGAGACCTCCTATTTGGGGTCCGCAGGCCTACTGGATGAGTCCGTCAGTCATGAGCTGGATATCAATGACCCAATATGGTCTCTAGACTCAAACATAGATACCACTGAACAGCTAGAAGCTGTCAACAGCTGTTACTTTCCTACAGAAGTATCGGGACCTTTGTTGATACTACCAGAAATCGAATCACTAGAACAACAGTTAAGAGGCTCCATATGCCAGCATGCCCACCAAGAGTCCAAAGGCTTTCTTCCTCTGGATAGATTGAATGATATAGTGGTCGAAGAGTCTGTATCTGTTGCACTCAGACAATGCATGCCGCATTTATCGCATGATGATGCGCAATTTCATGCAAAGACGATCTGCTCACGATCTCAGCGAAATCACCGGGAACCATCATTTCGACGCATCTTCGCGATATTAACGATGATCCAGCAACCACAAGAGGTCTTTGCTTTCAAGGAAAACAATATCACGGACCTTGAATTGCCTCTTGTCAAGGTTCAGGGGGAACACAAGGGTCGATATGAACTAAGACGAAAGTTTCAGCCAAATAGACCTTTGGAGGGTCTCGACAAGTGGTCTCCCTTCTTGATAGACTCGTTTGAAGGGTGCCAGTGGATGATGATGTCGCCTTTCTTTTCGTGGGAAAACAAACGGGCTGTCCGCACCTATTTCCTCGCAGACCAAACCATCCTCCCTTTCGTTGAGGATTCTTCTCGTGACGTCGACATGGAAGATGATGAGGACTTTCAAGGGGGTCACGGATCCATCTTCAAGGTCAAGATCCACCCAGCCCACCACAACTTCCATCATATTGCCGTATGTATAAGACTTTAATGACATTAGCCCAGATTTGCTAACCAGTGTTCTGCAGGAAGCTCATGACTCCGACTCTGCCTTTGCGGTTAAGCGCCTCCACTCTCGCAGCCGTGAGATGTTCTCAAGAGAGGTCGATGCCCTCAAGCGATTATGTGGCCAGAAGCATATTGTTCCGCTTCTTGCCACATTCGAATACAAGAACAGCTATCATCTTCTGTTTCCGTGGGCGAATGCAAACCTGCGACGATACTGGGCCATGTTCCCGAACCCATCTATAGATCGCCGTTACGGGCTCTGGGTAGCAAAACAGTGCAAAGGGATGGCCGAAGGGTTGAGCATCATCCATGAGCCTCCGCCTGACCAGAGCGACGACTATACCTACGAACCTGCCTTGCAGCCGAGCCACAGACAAGCGCAATCGTCGCAGTCTTACGGCAGACATGGAGACATCAAGCCAGAGAACATCCTCTGGTTCCGGAACGGGCCTAATACTGACATCGGAGTCTTGGAGATTGCTGATTTTGGACTTACGCGCTTCCATAACAGAAGATCGCGGTTTAATATTTCACCTGTTGGCATGGGAAATTCTCCAACCTATCGCGCTCCAGAATTCGACATGCCTGATGGACTCTTGTCTCGGTCGTATGACGTGTGGGCGTTGGGCTGTGTTTATCTCGAGTTTCTCACATGGTATTTCATGGGTTGGGAGGGCGTCATGGAGTTTTCCGCTTTAAGAGAATACAAGCGAAACAACCTCGAGGCCGACGATGCTTCCTTTGAGTTAACTGGGGCGCCAGAAACGGGCAACATATGCAGCAAGGTTAAGCCTGAGGTAGTCCATGTGAGTATTGACCTGAAACTGTTATCGATTTCCCTTCTCTCCTGACATCTGGCAGTGGGTGGCATCACTTCATCAACACTGGGCTTGTTCGCCATTTTTTCACGATTTTCTCGACCTCATTGAAAACAGCATGCTGGTGGTTGAAACAGATGGTGAAGTTCCGGTCCGCAGAGCTACTGCAGCTGAGGTGAAGAAGAGTCTGGTACGGTTCTATAACCGCTCCGGGTCAGACGCAGCTTACCTATATGGAGAAAATCCTTTGCAACTCTCTACCCATATTAGATTTATCCATGGATCGGAGAATGAGAACCCAACAAGCCGTGAGAACAAGAGGCGATCAAGCACTGTCGCTGCCTCAGAAACCGGTATCAAGTTCAAGTCGCCTGTACGACCCACTCATGCGTTCTGGGATGAAACTTCCTTTCGTTCAAAAACAAAGGCCAAGACTCATCATGTAGGTCAAAGGGACACCACTGATGGAAGTCGTGATTCGTTGTCACTATTTCAGTATGGATCGAGACCGACGTCCTTGAGTGAAGCTTCTCATGGCTTAGCATCAACTTCTTCCAGTGATCGAAGCCATCGACTCGTGACTGGAACACAGAAGACCCAGGACACGGCAAGTGGCGATAACCCTAATAATAACGCTCCTTTAGCTTGTCCCTTTTTTAAACGTGACCCGAATAAGTATGGGCAGACATGTTCCAGGGGCTGGGTCCAGTTTCACAGACTGAAGTTAGTATCCTTCTTTGCCAAACTTATGCTGGATACGATGCTAAGGATTATCCAAGGGAGCATATATTTCGGAAACACTGTACACCGCGATACAGATGCTCTCGCTGCCTATTAACCTTTGAACATAGTACTGGTCTGGAAGATCACTCCCGCGCTGTTGAGCCTTGCAGATTGCGCGAATACACAGAGGTTGAGGGTATAAACGCTGAACAGGAACGTCGCCTTCGCTCAAGGAAGCTAACCAGAACGGAGACTGACTCAAATGAGGGTGATCGCGATACCCAACGATGGCATGAGATGTACAAGATCATCTTCCCAGACGCTGATGTGCAGACGATTTCACCGTGTGAGTAGCAACAAAACCACTTCTTATGACGCTGGCCTCTAATAAGACCACATGAAGATAATGATTACAGCCATGGAGCTTACCCAGCCATCGGCTCCTCGGAAACCATTGCTGATTACAGCAAGTTCATAGACGGAGGTATCCCTTCGGAGGTTCAAAGCCAATTGCAGGCAACTATCAATCGGGAGCTTGGATTCAGTGAGCTGGAAGGCAGGCGAATCATTGACATACTCCCCATCCTGCAACAGACACTCTTGCAGTCCTTTCAAAACCACAGTGAGAGTTGATAGGTCGGAAGGGAAGGTCGAATGCTGAACCGGAGATGACTTGGCCAGCATATTGGGCCGTGGGCAAAGTGTTTGGAGAGATATCCATCTTTTGGCAGATGCCTCTTATGTTCCAGGGGAAAGACTGTTGCTGTAACCATATTCGAGTCAAATGGGAGAGGGTTTTGATAGCAGGAACCCGAAACTGGCTTTACTTTGTCAATTCTAAGGAAGATCGGTGGGTTCTTTGATTCTAAGTCCAAATTGGGGAAATATAACGTAGGGTACTCCCAAGTCGAGTTGCCTGTCTCTCCAGTTGAGACCAACGATTTAGATCATGAAGAAACATCACAAGCCTTAGCTTATGGCGAGGTGCTGACAGCACAAGAACACCTTATGCCGGGTTTAATCTATACCGAGCCGCCATCGCTTGACTGGGACGTCGATACAGGAGAGACAGGGTTACTGTCCGGTCTTGATGAGACTCTCATACCATCAGTTCTAAGGGACTTTGAGAAGGCCTGTGAGGCAGAAGGTGACCTTGAAAGGAGGTTAAGCGAGTGTTTGGAGAACTGTGGAGATCTCAACTTCAATGATACAAGTCTATAATTAGTCAAAAGAAATCTGATTCCAAGCCCGTGACCTTCCGAGCCAATATTCTCCATCCATGTCCATGAGCCGCTGTAGCCCTAAAGCCCTTATTTATTTTAAACACTTTGTGCTATACTAAACGACCCGAGTATAGGCTCTCGACAGCGGGCTCAACTTCTTGATTCTCCTTCACGAAACTCTGTCTAAGCAGATTGAAGTAGTTCCCGAGTCACGAATAGGACAGGGCCTAATCCTTTCGAAGAATGCCACTAAAGACCCCCAACATTATGTACCGATCAGTTAGAGCTTGTAGGCGCGTCGTCGCTGGCCTGAATGAGTCGCTGGAGAAATACGCTCTCCTCAGCTGCACCATTTAAGACACGGCTCCCATTGAACTCATACCACGGCACTCCCCTGACTCCCATTCTTTGTGCCTCTTCCACCTCGCGCCGAACTTCACCCGCACCTCCGCCATTTACAAGCCATGCAATTGCCTCGTCTCGATCAATGCCAGCCCGTTCTGCTGCGAGACCCAGATCCTTAAAACTTGTGATGTCTCCACCTTCTTCAAAATATAACTTCATAATCTCCATGACAAGTCTTGTTGACAGCTGCTCCGTCTCAGTGCCTTGTTTCGATTTGGTGAATTGAACGAGCCTATGAGCATCTCGCGTATTTCCAACTGTCGACTTGAAAGAGAGTTTGATACTATCTCTTTTGCCCATCGCTACCAGTTGCTCTTGCATTCGCGGTAGCTGTTCTCGGCCAAATTTTGATGCCATCTTTTCCATGAGAGGCTGAGTGACTGCTTCTGGTTCGATTTGATAAGAGTGCCATACTATATTAATCTTGTCGCTGGAGCTAATGGCCCTCCGATAGGCATCTATTGCGCGCATAAGGCGAACAGAGCCAACATAGCACCAAGGGCACGTAGGGTCGAAGACGGCTCGTATAGAAATTGTAGCCATTGTGGCGAATGACAAGCTGGTAAGGGTAGGAAGAGAATTGCTAAGATTTCAGAAGCTATTATCGTCAGCGTTTGTCGTAGGTGCATGAGAGTGAATTAATCGCTGGAGCTGTGAGTTCCGTTCGCCAGAAGACCCAGAGGTCCCTGTATATCAGCACCGAATGTATGGTCAACGGAATTTTATAGGGTCCGAGATTATACACAAAGTATCGAATGTCAGCCGCATAATTAGTCATTCAAAGCTTGTTTGTTAGCTGGCTTGCCCCACCGTCCGTATCGCCTTCACGGTCTGAAGGTACATGTGAATAATCATCCCTAGTTTTCCATGCTTTCTACCCCTCTTATTACATAGAATAATACCGGAACATTACCTGATTCTAATATCAACCTTAATTATTCAGTTGTTCCCTTCGGACCGTCAAGGGGATGAGTGATACTGAAGAAAACCACTCAGAAGAGCCATTGCGGGCTGGAATACCGTATACGTAGCGAATTAGTAAACTCGTCCTCAACGACGAGTCGCTTGCCTCGATAGGGCTAGCTTCACCGCTCCAAGCGGTATGGGTCAGTTGTCATCACGCTCGGAAGCATTTAAGATCCGATGGATTTTTAATTGCTTCCGCGATGATGAGTCGCTTGTCTTGATAAGGCTAGCGTCTGTTCTTTGGGCAGAACCCGAATATCCGGCCTGTTTTGAGCCCCATTGAGTTTGGAATGATGGCAATGCATGAAACTGCTGATTACGAAGATGCTGACGTCTCCGTGAGGTTGCTTTAAGAGACCGTGAGCGAGCGGTGAAGTTGTAGTAATGTATCTCCTGTAGGTTGAGAAATGGCTATATATACTGATGAGAATAGTCCTTACTTCCATCAATACAACAATTTCAATTTCAACTCACTCTGACTAAATCACACCAACTACATATACTTCGAGCAAAATGAGTTCTTACAAGAAAGTGGCTCTGCTTGGTGTAAGTTTCAATTATCCGCATTTTCCAAGCCAGTTGCTAAGACAGTTCTACAGAAAGGTCGCCTGGGAAGTGCGGTCCTTGAGGAGTTAGTTAACGCTGGGTTTTCTGTGACTATTTTGAGCAGAGACCCTTCTGGTGTGAAGGATCTTCCGTCCGGGGTTAACACTCATGAGGTCGATTATTCCTCTCAGGATAGCCTGGGCGAGGCGCTCCGAGGCAATGATGTCGTAATCGCTACCTTTGGAGCCGGTGCCATTATGGGTCAGGAGCCAATCATTGAGGCTTGCATAAAAGCTGGAGTAAAGCGATATATTCCAGCCGACTGGGGTTCCGTGACAACTGACCCCGAGGCGCGCTCTCTGCCCATCAACTACCCAACGGCCCAAGTCCAGGAGTCCCTCAAGAAGAAGGCCGAGGCGGGCTTACTTGAGTACACGATTTTCTCCGTGGGCGCTTTCTTGGATTTACTCCTCGATTTTCCCTTCGTTCTCGACTTGAAGACATCTTCGATCCAAATGTTTGACAACGGTGAACACGGCTTCAGCGCTACCAGTCTTCACAATATTGGAAAGGCCGTTGCCGGCGCCCTCAAAGTTCCTGAGGAAACCAAAAATCGAAATCTTTTCATTCACGACACCGTCTTGACCCAGGCCAAGATTCTGGCCATTGCAAAGAAGTACAGTCCCCCGACGGTTCAGTGGACGCAGACAAAGGTAGACGGACAGAAAGAGTTCGAGAAGTCTCTTGACAACTTCTCAAAGGATCCAAAGAACTTCAATCTCATATTCCCTTTGCTCAAAGCTCAACTACTTTGTGGAAAGTATCGTACTGCCTACACTAAGGTGGACAACGAGCTGGTTGGCCTCCCTCTTCTGACGGATGAAGAATTGGAGAAGAAATTGGCTCTCAAGTTTCAGAGTGCTTAAGTCCTCTAGTTGGGAATTCATTTTAACAGTACAGGAATGTACTGGAAAGAAGTACTTCCTACATAGTTTGTAGACTGTGTTAGAACTAGAGATAATATATTGGGTTACTACAATTACTTAAGGCCACTTATATCTACAGCCAGTGAGTGATGGTGGTGGTTTTGATGTTTATCGATAAGCGGCATATCCTCGGGAATGATGGTTGTCTGGTGCGGGCGCGCTAGACACGCCACAAGTGGCTCCGTACATACTCCGCACATGCGCCTCGTTTCAGGCATCACAGCATAATACCTATTAATGAAGCAAAAGAGTATCTTGTCGATAGTCTTTCCTTGTGTATTTACCTCTGTGCTGGGGTTGAAGCCAAGCCTCTCTTGACTTCTCCATCTTATCACAGTCCCAAGAATCCAATGCAGCCCGGGAGAGCTCTCTGTCGAGCCCTACTGTAGTACAACGTCAACAGAATTTGTATAGACTCAAATCAGAAACACACAATGAGAGATTAATTAATCCTATCAAGAAGTACTTCAAAGAGTAGCCCAAGACAATCCATGAGAGCAGGGCGTAGACTCGTCGATGTTTCATCGGCTTTGGTAGTAGGCGACCCTCAACTACTGATGCCAGGAAATCCATAGCGAGATATCCCCGCGTTGGCAGGGAAATCCGTGAAACGTTTGTCGCATTGTGTTATAAATAGCATCACTTCACAGCGCAGAAATTCGCGATTCCAGGGTAGGTCTTCAACTTCTGATGCAACGGTGTAGTTCAATTGAACCGGCTTTTGACAGTGTGCAACGCTACCAGTCACGCCACGGTTACCAGGAAGTCTGCAAACAGCCAACTTATTAATTTATATATAGTGTTTCCAGAAAGCGCAAAGACTCGCGATCCAGGAACATGTCTTCATTTTCCGCTGTGATGACGTGATTCAATTGAGCCTTCATTTAAAGCTCTCGGTCACATCGGCCAACGAACCCAGGGCCTATGCCTTAACGGCCAGGAAGTCTATCATTAGTTGTCGCATGAGAACGTGAATAGTATCATCATAAAGCTCAAGGATTGGCGATTTATTACAAGGTCATCAACTATGCACGCGATGAAATGATTCAATTGGAGATGTATTCTCTTCGTACGTGGTGGGGGCTCGCTATTCTTGCAATTGGGAGTAGCCGGCCTACAACTTTAATGTACATTACTGGGGAAAAAAAAAGTTAATTGTAAATCTATGTCGCATAGCAAATGTAAGCATTTGCGCATCGTTATTATTTGATAACCCATCGAGCATTGGTGATTTCCTGCTGGTAAAAGATGTTGCTTGATGGCAGAGTGGACATGCGTGGTGGGTTCAGGCACCGTCCGCAAATTGGGAGCGGATACAATCAGATTCACAAGCCGCTTTATTGATTCCGGGCCATTATGTCACATGGCAATGAAGATTGCTTGTGTATCGATCCCTTTATTATTCGACTTTGTTGTGGTCTCCATCCTGGAGATTGTTTGTACATCAGTCTGCTTCTCCGTCTACTGTGTCAGGGGGTCAAGTGAACACATGGTTGGTTGAAACTGTCCGTCCACCACCACCACTTCAACTTTGGATTGAATCAATTGAAACTCTCAGATCTATGTCGCATAGCTAAAGAGTGCAATTGCGCATCGCGCTTGGACTTATAAATAACATTTTTGCTCCGTTCCTGGTGATAGTGAAACACAGCAGTTGACAAACTGGTAGGTGACTTAGGCGCTAAAACTTGGTTGGGTGCCGTCCAATTGATGAGAAACGTTAATCACCACTTTATTTTTACACTGAATCAATTAAAACTCCGGAATCTGTGTCGCACCGCTATATCGGGAATTTGCGCATGCTATTTTCACCCACAAATATCGCTTGAGCTGCGTTCCTGGCGATACCGAAATATCTCAAGCCAGTGGCCTGCTCGGTGACAGCGATCAAGCCGCTAAAGTTATAGGGGGCGAAGTTGGCGGGACCGGAGATAAAGCTGCGCTATTACCACAGCACTTGAGCAAAATATTCTTGCAATTGAATCCTGTGTCGCTTATGTATCCTGATCATGTTATGGTATTTTCTGTTGCCATTTACGGCCGAACTGTTGAGTTCCTGGTGACATAATGTTTTCTCCTGGTGGTAAACACGATCAACTTCTTGGGGAGAACTTGACCTTGATCGCTGAAGAGTCTGCGCCAATAATGCAATCATCGAGCGATATGCTTTTTCAATTGAATCCTGTGTCGCCTGAGTGCTCTGATCGTATTGTAAAGCTTTGCATTGTCAGTTTACCCTTGATGCTTGAGTTCCTGGTGATTAAGTGTGAGGTGTTGACTTGGTGGTTGACACGCTTAAAAATTTACATGGTGCATCTTGACAGCGACCACGAAGAGTCCACGACAACAACCCAATCTTGAAGCAATATACTTGGACAATTGAATCCTATGTCGCTTGCCCATCCTGACTATGAAGCTGTTTTTTAAATGGCTATTTATCCATCATGAGATGTAATCCAGGTGCACGCGCATCACCGTTCGTCAGCTTGCCCCAGCGCTTTGGTTAGTGGATACCTTCTAAATTCAAGCGCTGTAAGTCGAGCGCATTAACCTCCCACGTTGATGGGCGATGTTGCAGGCCACCTCTGTGTAATATCAATTGGTTCACATCTTTTTCGTTGTCGCTGAGGGTCAAATAACACATTGCATTAATTTCTTGAGTTCGGGCCCATTGTTCGTAGAGATCCTGGTGGTGAAACTCACAGCTGATGTCTGAGGTTCCAAGTCTCATGCCACCACCAACATCACCGAGATATTGGGACGCCAGGAACTCAACCACAATAGATCCAATAGCGATAAAAATGAGGTTTCTTATTGAATCAGACATTGGGATCTGGTCGGCGACCTCAGATTCCATTTTATGAGTGTTTATTGAAGGTTTCCTGTCGGTTGAAAACTCTGCTTCCACCTCTTTCCCCCTTTGATCGGTACTGCCCTCGAGGTATACTTCAGTCGTCATGCAAGTCTTTGTAAGTTTTTCCTCTCTTCAACTCCATCATAAGCCTCTCGATTTCTGCGCGTCTCCCGCCGTTTTTAAGCCCTCGGTTCAATTTGTTGAATACCAACTCCCGCGCCGTTTTCATCCCGTCTTGTCCTTTTTTCTGTCCCGTCTCGTCAACACCAAATTTCCCTTCGCGATGTCTTCCCCGTCCCCTCAAGTCAAAGTCCCCGATCTCTACCGCTCCTCGCCCGCCAGCGCAATGCAGATCCGTTCTGTTTCGGGCATGTGGCCCAGTCAACTCTTTGCCGATGCCGTCCCTCGGTCCTGGAGCAAGAACGTCTTGGTGTCCCTGGCCAAGATCATCTCCTCAGCCAGCACAAAGGCTGACACCACGGTTGACGACGTGGTGGCTTGGTTCAAGGAAAATGCAGAGTCGTGTGGTGGCCTCAACCAGGAGGCGTGCACTCAAGCCGATCGGTGGCTGAGTGAGAAATCGGCTACTCGTGGTAGCAGGAGGTTGTCTTCTCGGGCAGAGGAGAGAGAGTCTTCCTAGCAAGAAGATCCTCCCCGACGTAAGTACTATCCCCTATCATTCCGTGCCGGTCCATATAGACAAGAAGCATACATGATTGTCCACATTCTGATCCTGTACTAGAAAATCCTCAGAAGCGACCCGGTTATGCCAGCGATACAGAAGCGTCGCGCCGCAAACGGCGCTCATATGAGGTCCCAGAACGAAGGGCCTCTCCCAGCCCAGACATCACCGCAGTATGTCATCACCCATTCGACTTAATAGTTATTTTCAATTGCTGACATGACAATAGAACCGCGAAGAGCTCGTGCGCTCGGAGCACATCTCCATCCTCAGAGAGAAGTCGGCTGCTGCTGAGGATCGCCTCAATGAGGCAAAACCACGCCTGGACGAGATCGAGTCTCGCGTCGTTGCTCTGCAACGACAAATCGCCAATGTCAATTCCGGCGCGCTCCAAGAGAGCATCAAGGAGGCCACTGCCCGCCTCGCAACCTCCTCGGCCCTGGTCACCAAGCACCAGCGATACGTGGACGGGTACCAGGAATTGGCGCTGCCCGATGCGCCAACCTACCATGTCCAAGCCCTGGAAAAGGCTCAAAGCGAGCTCGACAAAGCATCCCAGGATGCTCAAACTTCTGGGGAAGTGTTGGCGTCCGCTCAGGAGGAGCAGAGAGAGTTCAAGCGTGTTGAGGAGAAGTTGGTGATGTTGGGCGCTGAGAGAGCGACCCTGGAGCAGTCTGTCCGTGACCTGACGTTGGACAAGGAGCGGTGCGATGTGTATCTTGGGATGGTGGAGTATGGGCCTGATGGTTTGGCCACTCTGCGGGAGGAGGATGTTGGTGCTTGGAAGGGGATGTTGGACCTGGAGTAGTTCTGTGTCTGTTGGCGTGTTTGGCGTGGTAGTCTGGCGTTTGGGTTGTTTTCCTGGGGGTTTACTGGGTGGCGATACTGGCGGTAATGAAATTGCGCGGTGTTTTTTGGTCTTTTGATCATGACCTTGCTTCTCTCCTCTCGAGTTCGCATAAGTGAAACGATCTGACATTTCAACCAAAACCTGCATTCTGTGTAGGTCGGGGATGTTCGCCTTTTCATCGTTTTTACATCAAGGACGATTTGGGAGTCAATTGAGATCAACAAGAAATTGTCAGGAAATAAGCTGTTTCTGTATAAAAGACGAGCTTCAACTGACATATTTGTTCCTGAAACTCCCTTTAGTATATCCCAATTGTTTTCCAAGGGTTCCGATACTATACGGTTGAGATCCTGGTGTTGGCGCGTCTCCATCATCAATGCCTATCAATCGATGCTTGACCCTACCCTAGGTATGGGAGGAAAATGATGAGTGGCGGGATGGCCACGATCCACGTGCAAATGGCCAAGGTGACTCGGCTGAGACGAGATGGGGTAACAATTGACAATTACTGTACCACTACATATCAATCGACTGATAGTCTCGGCTTACTGATCTAGCTATTGCGACACGAGGCCAGCCTTTTACAGAATTTTCTGACCACAGATGATCGAGTTCCTGGTATTTGAATGACACCAAAGTTGATCTCGATGCCTCGCCAACACACGAAAGCTTGAGAGTCACTGCGCACCGCCAGGAATTTGACTTTGATCCTCTGAACCAATCTTCTATCCAATTGCGACATAGCCACAGCTTTTTACACATTTTTCTGGGCTCAAATGATCGAGTTCCGTGAATATATATCTCCCACCAGAGTTAATCTCGATAGCTTTCTGAGTAACGAAGAGCTCAAACAAACGCGCATCTACAGAAAACACCATTTGATACTATGAATCAATTCCATATTTAACGGCGACACGAACAAAGCTCTCTGCAGAATTTTCTGACCTCAGATGGCGGAGTTCCTGGCGAAGCAAATCTCCCGCCAAATGCGCACGCCTTACTATGGCATGCCATGCTTGGCGGGATTGATCACAATACCCACCAAGAAACGTGCGTACCTATAAGCTCCTGTTTCGCTCTCAAAGCATAAAGTCATCGTAAATGTGTTTGATCTTTTCTAATGCCAATTGGCTGAGATCCCGGACAATGATTGTGTTGCAGTTCCTGAACAACGAGGCGGGACTAAAGCCAATGGGATGTATGTATGAACAGCCATTAAAAACTAACAATTAGACCAAACATTTGTGACTTGGCACGATTACTTGAGTTATATGTTGCTTATGTACAGTTTCTTTCCGCTTCTCCAAGTTGATGGCCTTCCGCGGTTTGGACTCAACAGTGGAGGATACCGATGTGACTTGATGTGCAAGTCAAAATGAGTACCCGAGATTGAATATGACCACAAACTACGGAGCACGACAAACGATGATAAATCAACAAATTACTTCCTGGCTGTGATGTTATATATCCAACCACAAGCGATGTGCATGAACGCAGTAAGCAACTGGCGGAACCCTTGTGAGCAAGTCCGGAGTTTGGGTAAGAATTCCTCCCAGATATAATCTCCGAGACGGGCTGATAGTGCGTCCGAACTTGATGGAGCATGATCGTAGGTGACATCATTTGGACTAAGTCTTGTCTCTGGATATCGGATAAAAATGCAGCCAGTTATATAGTTGATTGGCCTCAAAAGCTGTACAGCCTCAATTACCGACTACCGGAACTCAGGGATATGCTGACGCTAACCCTGATTTAAATTCTGCCGTTATGAACCGCTCTGCTGAGAGTCCTCAGCATCAATGCTGACAGACCAAGGCTCAGACAAGATTGCAAGCATTAACGCTAAAGAAATGATACAACATGAATAATCATTTGCAGAGCCTATACGCGAAAAACGTACTCGACAAGGATGATTCCTTTCGCTTGGTTTCTCTTCAACCAGGGCGTGATAGTGCCCCGCTTACGCTCCGTCTTCTGAACACCAATCTTAATAAAACTCAACCTTACGAGGCAGTCTCCTACGTTTGGGGAGATGTGAAAGATCTTATAGCAATCAATGTTTATAGCGATGAAGATATGGAAACTCAGGCACTTGTATCGCAGAACTGCCACGCGGCCTTGAGTAATTTCCGAGATTCTGAATCATCTCGACTGCTCTGGATCGATTCAATTTGCATCGATCAAGAGTCACCGATTGAAAAGAACCATCAGCTGGGCCTCATGGCACGAATTTATAAGAATGCTTCCCAAGTATTGGTCTATCTTGGACATGGAACGCCTGATAGCGATGCAGCTCTAAGGTGCATCCGCGAAATTGATGAACCATCCAACGACGATGGTTATGAGACTGTGGAAGCTTCTGCAATCATTCAAGAGAACCAAAGTGCTGTAAGCAATCTATTCAAGAGGCCGTGGTTCTTTCGTGTTTGGGTCCTTCAAGAGATCACCTTTGCGCAAAAGGCTAGTGTGATCTGCGGTGACTACCAACTCAGTTGGGAAAGCTTCAAGACATTTTTTCATTGGAATGTTAACGCGGGCTGGATCCAAAGACTACCATTCTCAGTTACATACGCTGTTGCACCCACTCCGTATGTAATGCACGTTACATACGGCGAAAGACTCTTGAAGATATTAGAAGACACGAGGACCTGCGGTGCTACTGATAAGAGAGACAAGCTCTACGCTATTCTACCTCTATTAGATCGACATCATGAAGAACTGAAGGAGGAGCTTGAAGAGTACAAGGAACGCTGGGACTATAACGAGCAAGAGCTACAGGAACTGGCAATTCGACAACGCCGTTTGAGTGTTCCAGTCGATTATAGTCACTCTGTGTCCCAGGTGTATACTGAGCTTGCGATCCTGTTGATGGGTTCAGTCGGTCTTGACCTTCTTTCACATGTAGTCAACGAATCAACCATACCGGGGTTACCAACATGGGTCCCAGACTGGAGCGTCACATCTCCCTACTGGGCTGCGACTCAGAAGCCCGCTCCAGGTAGGTACAAGCCGTTTGCAGGTTTTGTAAGTGGACCTACTCAGTATGTATGGGGCTGGAAGATGCTGCATCCTCATCTTATCGATACATGGACGACTTCCGGATATACTTCTGCCAACACCCAGCCGTCTAGACAGCTTCACGTCCAAGCTGTTAGCCTGGGTAAAATTGAGAAACTAGGCGATGTTTGTGACATTGGCAAGAATCGCTTCCCCGTGGTACAGTGGCAAAAGCTAGTACCAGACGAATCGTATCTCAAACACAGCAAAATACCGGAAGATATAGCTGGAGAGGATATTTACCAGTGGCATAACGGCCCATTGTCTCTATCAAAATTTCTCAGAACTCTGACATTCGACGACGTTGTTTACCCCGAGGTCGCCAAAGCGGCTATCAGTCATATCAAACGGTATAATGGAGAGGTTCTTAAGGATGATGAAGGCGAATGGAAGTGTTTTGGGGAACTGACTGAGAATGACAGAGAAAGGATACCACTTGTAGAAATATTTGAGGGATCAGGGAGCTTTGAGAAACAAGCTATGAGGATCTTGAAGCGTTGCGATGGGAAGAGACTGTGTATCCTCAGTAACGGACGTATTGGTCTTGCACCGGACAGGGCTCAAGTGGGTGATGAGGCTGTTGTAGTTGAAGGTGCCAGTGTACCTTATATCTTGAGAAAGGTGTCAGCTTGTGGAACAGGAGATGGTGCTTCTAAGCAAATGTTTAACTTGGTGGGGAGCAGCTTTGTACTCGGTGTTATGAACGGCGAGATTTGGAACCAGGTAGACAAAGGCGAGGCACAGAGAGAAAGGATTACTATCAGATGATTCAAGGAGGGATTTTCGGACATCAAGTTCAAGTAGTTGACTCTAGCCTCGCCGTGAAGACTCGAGAGTCGAATTTGGTAGTTACTGTGAGGGTTCGGTGCGCAATGAACCAGTCCGTTCTGATGTCTCCAAAGACCTAGACTAACCTCTTGACCATTCGGATTGGTACCTCTGTCGGGTGTGCATCCACAGCTGTGTGAAGAAATTATGTCTCGGCCCTAATGCGCCTTGAATATAAACCCACTTCATTCTTTGGCATTTATCATTATTTGAGGTCTATCCGTGGGTGTCGTGACATTGACTGGTTCATTCTCTCCATGCTTTGCGGTTAAATAGGTAAAAGATCCTGGTGGTGTAGAAACAAAGACGATGGCTCTGCAAAGGTAGTTAGTCAAGATGCCAATTGGACAGTGGACCCATTGACCATGCCTTTCCTTACCACAGTAGGTGCGATGTTTGCTGCTGGACTTTTCTTTGAGATTTAGCATTCACAAGAGAGTAGAAAGCCGCGTCGACCAAGTTTGAGTTAATCATAAACGATGCAAAGGAAAGGATCAAGCTGCATATGCAATGCAGTTTGGTGGAATCGCCTGCCTGCATAACAAACAGACCCTATACAAAGGTTCTAGAATTGAAAGAAATATTATTCAATGAAAAGTCACTCATCGAAACCTACTGCATTCACTGTCGCTCTGTCCCAGAGCGATATATAAATTGCTGTCCAGATTTCAGACCTCTCCTCAACTTTACCATCAGCATCCCCCAACATAAGCGTGGGCATCTCTCAGCACATTGACCCATTGACTCGTACACATCAATCCTCCATTCAAGATGTGGTTTCCAACTACTGCCGATACACCAAAGCTCATAGACGCTCTCCGCAAACTCGGCGTGAATGACTCTACCTCGGATAGCGCTTCTACCTGTACGATACGCACTTCAGAAACGACATATTACTCCGCCAGAACGAGCCCGGACAGCGACAGTCTTTTGGATGTCATATCCATTGCTTCGACGTGTACCACAGTGACCCTTGATTTCATTTCTATCCTTGGAGGTAAATTCCGACTGCTAAATGGAAGCTTGTGCTAATATCAAGTTGTAGCAGAAGTTGATAGAGCCCTTGATCCTTCTGAGGGCTTGGTCTCAGGAGCCCAGGCTATTACCGAGGATCCCGCCTTCGAAGGTAAGTCTCATTTCGTGAATGGAAGGAAACTTGTGCTAACAGTAGGTTGTGATAGAATTCGATAAAGTCCTCCGTAGAATGGTTGATGGACCAGATCTAGATCTCTCTTTCTCTTTCACTCTTGAGGCTGATCAGAATAGCTCTGTTCATGAGCAGACTACGAGGTTCCGGTCTATTACGACGTCATTCACTGCATCACTTCATCAAGCCAAGTCACATGGAAAGTCGGTCTGTATAGTGATTCTCAAATGTGCCACGCTTGGTATGTGGAAAGGGAAATAGAATCATACCTCAGGAGTGGAAAGAATACCGGGATTGCTGGATGTCTCTTGTGAGGCCATGACGATAATACGAAGGAGCCTAGGACGCTTTGATGAGCTAGGCGGGGATGAAATTAGAAGCGTTAAAGAATTAGTAACGGCTAGCACATAGTGATTGCTAAGTTAGCGTAAGGAGGAGTCTGTTTAGTCCAACAGGCTGGGTTGCGCAGTATTCGCTTGGGGTTTTTGTTCATAAAAGGTATTCTGGGAAGATTCGCCGATAGCTACAAAGGGGCACTGGAGAGACTTTTAAGGCAGCTTGGGTGATATCGGGTTATACCTTGTACCAGCGTGTCGAACTGTCCAAGAATCAAAAGCCATAAAACCACTGTGGATTGCTGTTGGGGAGGGCGTGGTTGTTCGCGACTATCTGGAACTTATTGGAGTTGCAATCAATAGGCTATATCTTCGTAAAAGAGCTAAGCAATTCATCTACTGCGGCTCTGCCCGGAGAACCATTACGAGCAAATTTGAATATTCCGCGCTTTCATGCCTACAAACAGCCGGCAGGACAGTGTAACTGATCTTGGAGAGGCGAAGATAAGGTTACATGGACGAAACTCAATTGGCTCACTAGGCGCCGAAAGCCGCCCGCTACTTTAGATCTATACCCACTTGTCAAAGGGAAAGATCCTTCACACGGCTCGGGTTGACGGTCTATTTACACTACCGTGGATAAATTGAACCTTCCTATCCCCTATTTGGGTATTGATTCCGATCATGTGGGACTTTTAGAGATTAAATCATCACCCGTACATGGTTATAAACTTTGAAGAGCAAGCGTTGATTTGTACATACTTCCGTATTTAGACTTTGAATACTACCTCACGACGCCTCCAAATTGCACCGTAACATTGCTTTCCGGAGTTCCGAAAGAATTAATTGCTGCTTCTGTACTCCGCAAGCTCTTGGAATCTGGCCCAGGCATGTAATTAGGGCCTGCAGCCCGAGATGAGAAATACTCAAGACTAAGCTTTGTCCAGATACTATATCAACTGGACCACCCACTGGTGCTTCGGTATCCAAACAGTAGGCTGGCGTATAGCATAGCAACACCGAACAACACTCGGTACTTCTAATCCCACTCAAATACCGACAAAATGCTTGTTCCTCTTCTGCTGTTGAATCTTCTACTTCCAAGCACGCTTGCTGCTCCCCACCTCAAAGCGAGAGACTGTCAAGTAAACGAAATTCCAGCCAGTCTAACTGACGCTTATATCGACCGGAACAACAAGAACAACGTGTCCTTCCGCGTGTATTCAGAAGACATTGAGACTCGATGTCCCCCACTCGATAAAGACCCTCAGAAGAACACGGCCAAACCTTTCACTTCGAAAAACGTCTACGAGTGTACAGACCCCAGTGTCACTTTCAGGTACAATGGAGACAACGGCCAGCTCAGGATCTGGATCAACAACGACCAAGGCTCTTTCGGCGGTTCTGTCACTATTTCGAATCCCTCGTCGGAAGTCATCTCCACTACCCTGAAATGCCAGGATAATTGAGGGACTGGATGAATAATCATCTCAACTGGTTGCGTCATTTACACTTAATAAGAAAGAGGAGGGATAGGCGTGTTGGAGGAGAAAGACTAATAGGTAACAATCAGTAGCAGATATCATATGAGAACTGAGAGGCAAGGGCTTGTTTTTGGGCGGCGATCTTAGACTCCAGGCAGAGGAGAAATATAAAAACAGTCCGTCAATGTAGCAATGTGGCAATAATATATAAGAGAACGCTGCGTTTGCGGTGGTTGGATCAATGTACTGAAAAGTAGCTCCGGACGCAGAAGCAGCATCTTCACTCACTTAAGCAAACACTTAAGCAAAGAACCCAATCTATTACAGTATCCATGACTTCGCTTGAGAGGTCACATAGCCTTATCCTGAGGGTAAGGCTCAGCCACGTCTATGGGCTGAGACATGCTAGTTTCTTCTTATTCTAACTGAAGGATCTGGAAGCCAGGACACAGCGTATTACTGGCATATTGGCTATTCATGCCATCTCTAATGGCCTGAAGCCAATATTAGCGAGATAAAAGCCAGGAACAGAAGTGAATTTACCACTGAGTAGCCTCCACAGCTCCTTTACTAAGACGCCGTCAACGACACGAACAGATGACGGGACTGTTGCCGAGGTCAGAACTGATTCCATGGTGCATCTGATGATTTGATCACTGCCAGCGATCAGCAGCCAAGAGTTGAGTTCATTAGATACAGAAACTAAGACAACTAGTAGAAGATATAACTTCCTGCACGAAATATACAAGCTTGGTAAGACAATTATTCGGGTCACCAGTGATGGGACTTGGCTTCCCGAAGACGGGCGAGGAGAAGTCTGCCGAACGTCGCCGTAGTCGGTTCTTCCAGGAGCAGACAAACATCCCAGAAAGGCATTTTACCCTAGAAGTACCCATTGCGGTCTTGCAGAGGATCGTACCTCATGATGTTCTTTTCCTCCCTTAGGGAAAGCGGTAATCCATTATATAGGGTGTTTCCACGCCATCCAAGACACAACAACCTGTATAACACTGGTAATAAACCCTAGGAGACCGAAGAAGACAGCGAGAAATAGACCTATAATAGCCAGAGTCAACGCATTTCTTTCTGAAGTATGCCTTTCAACCCAAGAAACAAGCACGTTTCTAGGTGGCGGCCGTTTCGCAACCTCATATAACCGCGCTAGACGACCTCCCTAGTACATGAATGTGAAGTCCGATGTTAAGGGTCGGACGAACTCGACCCAAAGGCCCTCAGGATCGAAACCTTGAGTTCGAATAAGCTTCTCAAGGAGAAGATAAGGACGTTCATTGTTTATGCTCGCGATCGGGAATAGAATGCTATGGAAGGAAACAAGAGTCTCGAAGAGTAGTCGTGGTAGTAGTGTTCCTCTATCTCATTTATTAGTACGTCCTAACATTACATTCTTAGGGCCTGCTCAAAGTCCAGATCCAGAGGTTCATCCTTTGTTTGCTTTAAAGACGTCCTTAGAAATGCTGTCTGGTGAAAAACCTTAAGGACCTTTTCCCTGGGATCGTAAAGAAGATGATCTAGCAGATTGTTTGTGGGCCTTATTTTGATTCCATATCTTCTCACAAGCTTCCATGCTTTCAAGGCTTTCTTTTCTTGGAGAGCTTCTACATCATTCTCCTGTTGGGCCGTCGTTTGAGCAACACCAGAGGCGAATGCTTGTTTCATGAAGTCCAAAATTCCCTGGTTCTCTTCCCACTTCACTCGGGACAAGCCTTCGCTTCTGAGACCTTCAGAGTAGAAGTCCTTGGACGAGCAGCCGACCATAAAGGCAACTTTGACAATGGATCTTGCTAAACGCTCCCTCTCCCTAGACATAATATTCGCAGTAGGCAACGAAACTGTCAAAAATCCCTCCCGTGATAACGATAAATTCGCGCAGAGAAACTCGACATACTTGAGCACCTCGGAATGGCTCTGAAGTGCTGGGGTGTCAATGTGAAGGGCTGTATCTCCAGGGAATATGGACAAATGACCGAATCGTAATAATCAAAGTATGCCTTGAACGCTGTATTCGTTGAAGCGGTAACTAACTCATCCCCAAGCAATTGTTTTGCGATTTCATTTCGCTCAAATTCGTTTGGTGGAAACATTGCCACGCGTCAAAACTGGCTTAGAGAAAAAGAATTACAAGCCAAAGATGATAGAATTTTCAACTGTATCGGCACAGGGCCCATCAATTTGTAGAGACGGAGGGATCTGTAACCCAGTAGTCAGGCGCTTGTGGCTGGGGAAGAAAATGCCTAGCACTGCACTTCAGTCTAATCGAACATGATTTAAGGGCTACCAGGTGGTTGAAAGAGCCAACCATGTATTGGCAATCAGCTCGCCACGTCACACTGCGCCTTGTCCATTGCATACGCCCAAAACACTCCGCCACTGCCCCGCAAAGAGCTACTATACAATATTAATCGCACGTCTCTTTTCTCGATAGAGACGTCGCCCAATGCCAAAGCAGGACGTGTTTACTTTACTTGCTGCCCGCTGAGTATCAGGATCGACTTATTAAACATGAGTAGAGACAGCACTCAGATAGAAATGATGGGCGTAACGAAAATATCGGGAACCAGGGCAAGGTATGGGATTTCGGGCAACAATGCTCAATTCTCATGGAAATGCTAACCGCTAAAAGGTTGTCTCGGATATGTACTGAGGATCCTTGCGAGCAGTTTTCAATCAGGTGGGATCGCAGAAATGAAAGGGGCCCTTCTGCTTTCATACCTTACCCTGGAAGCATGCTCACGAACAGGACCGAATCTCAGACCCATTCTTCCCTATTATCAACAGCCCGAGAGGAGAAAAAGCTAGCTCAATCAGCTCCTTTGATGGGAGCTTGGTCGACGCCGTAAGTCAGCTCAAGGAAACTCCTGCCTGCGAGCTACCAGAGACACCAATACCATCCAAATCCAGTGTTGACCCATGCCTACAAGTGCCCTCTTACCTGAGTCCGGTTGTCTCTGCCCAGGTTATCTCTACGCCTTTCTCGGCCACGCAAAGCGATGCAGCGGGCAGTTCGAGCATATTTCATCCACCATCCGACTTGCTATCCCAAAGCAACGAAACAATCAGCTCTGCACCTCCCAATTCAAATTCAAATTGCAATACCTTTGCTACTGCAGTACCGCCTAGCAAAGATCCCTTCAATAGCCCTGCGTAGATCCCGGGTGTCTCGCCGCCAACCTTTGTCTACCCACACAGCGCGTCAATTATTAGGGATGTCTTTCGGGAAAGATACCGTGAGATCGTGATTATTTTCAGGCAGAATGCCGAGGAGCACCCACGCCTCCGAGACAATGTTCAGCAGAATGACTATACACTTAAAATGTGTGGCCCTTCTGTAGAGAAATCGCATCCTTCGATTCTGGTGTTCTGCCGTCAGAGCGAATTCAGTTCACTCCATAGCCTCCTCAACAGCAAGCATTTGAAGCGTCAATACGGACTTCGAGAATCGTCACCCAAATACTTTTGGAAAAGCTGGCGAAACAGTCCTACGATGGTCCCTGAAGAATCGCACAAACCATTATTCAAGCTCTACTTCTGGCGCCAAGCGAGACTGAGAACTTTGCTGTGGTGTGCTAAAACAAGAGTTCTCATTGGATCTGACGTTATGCCTACGCTTGTGGAGTCGCATTCCCTCTTGCACTCGAATCTGACTTTGTGCGGCTCCATCATTTCTGTCAATCAAGACCGCAGGAAAACTTCAACTCTAGGTTGCATTATTCAAGTAGGCTCTGAGTTTTACGGCCTAACTGCAGCTCATGCCGTGAGGCAGTCTAGGGCATACCGGACACCACCACTGATCTCACCTACCGACGCAGAACTGGGTACAGACTTGGACTGTCCCATGGCATCACATGTTCTGGGAAATTGGCGAAATCCATTCATGGCCTGCAAGAATGCTGAGGCCGTAGAGTTGGATGATCATTCATACAGTGAAGAAGCAGTTGATGAAAGGGTGGAAGACGTAGACTTTGTCACCGACGTGGAATACGAAGACTTGCTGGAAGACGATGATAACCATGGGGACGACTCGAACGACTTCGATGGGTCATCGGACCCCAAAGATTTGTTCCACGAGGAGTACTTGAATTCGGACACTCAAGAAGGGACGATAGAGACGCAAGCAATGGTTTCTATCGAGTATGAACAAGGTGCATCGAAGGCTATGGATTTTGATTGGGCCCTCATCAGCTTACCGGAAAGGGGGCAATGGCGGCCAAATGCCTTCATGAGCACCGCGACTTCGTCCCGTCCGTTGTTTTTCTCCGAGATCGCGACAGCTTGCCCGGAGAAAGGCACAGCAGTTCTAATAGTTACCTCGGGTAACGTTATAAAATAGGGGAGGCTTCAGCCAGTACCTTCATTCCTCGGAGGCATAAATTATAATCGGTCAACTATAGTCTGGAGTGTCATAGTTCCCAAATTGACTGGTATGTGTCTCATTTATCGCCGAGCCAGACCTAACACGTCAAACAGGTCTCACAAACGGCGACTCCGGATCAATTGTCATTGACGCTCGAACAAACGTTGTTTATGGGCATGTTGTGGCGTCAAACCCCCTTGGAGAGATTTATATCAGCGCGATCGGAGCCACATCGGAGCAGATTCAGAGCCATTTTCCTGGCTCTAAGGTGCTGTTGCCTGATCCCTTGACGCTATTGACGGGGCTAGCGACCTTCGGGCACGAAACCATGGGTAGTACGTTCCAACTACTAACGTACCTGGACCAACTGCTCCAGTCGAAGGAAAATGAGCAAAATTGGTCCTCGCTACTGTCCTGGAGCGTATCCAATGAGCGCAAAGCGCTGTTAGACTCAATTGATGTAGTTGTGGGACGACTGGGGAGTAGAGGTATTCGACCAGATATTTGTTCTCACAAAACCCCCCACATGACTATCAGTTGCTAACTTTGTGAAGTTCCAGATCATACAAAGGATCTCCAGGTATCCCGAAAATTTACGCAATCTCGGTCTTTCACCAGATGCAGAGTATACTCTTCCAGTAACTCCAACCGCAAATAAGTCGTTGAATTTCTCAAACTACCCGGAGTTCCACTACTCTCATCAATGCAGCGAAGATTCCCCTACCAAGTATGGAGTGAATGAAGCAGAGGAATCGCAACCCGCAAACTTAACCCTTGACTGTAATGCCGTAGAGCTTGGTCTAGGGCAATCCGTAAGGCACCGGGCAGACAGCCCAGTTCCCCACTCCAGCGGCAAGGAAGAATCCGGCCTGGGCAAACTTGCACGATCTTCAGCCGAACCGGCGCCTTCTCGTCCCTTACCAGGACCATCGATCCCAGTTGTGATTTCACAATCAATAGGTGGTCGTGAACTGGATGGCAATGGTGATACTGAAGCGGCCCTATCATCGAAACTTTCGGACGAGGCGGAGGCTGACTCAAGTATCAAGCCTGATCCGGATGCCACATCGCCCACAGATTGCAGGATTATCGGACACTTGCGCACCCGCCCGCAGGGGATCGAACAGGACCTCTCGAGCACATATAATGCCGCTCTCAGTAAGTTTCCAAGCTTTCAGAATGACATGATAGGCACGAATGAGGATCCGGAAGAGTTGCCGCAGCAGGGCATATTCCCTCAGCACGTTGAAGCAGCGGTTACCCAACCAAGAGCGCATGGAGAACTTGACCTGGGGCATGATGCACATCAGTCTGCGAAAGTCAAAGGAACAGGAAGAACCGAGGTGAGTAGGCCGTTTCCTGGAGGAGCTTTTCGGCCTTTGAACTAATGGGTACGATACGGTAGACGGCACCGTACTTCGGATGATTCTATTGTAGGCCCCAGTGATACTTCAGACCTGGGACGGACGTCTAAGCAGAAGCTCATACAGCCAAATCTCATGGAGTTAGACGTCGTTACTGGCCCTGAAAATATTCCTTTGCCGGCCAGCCTAGTGCCAATTCCGTCATTAGAAGCGACACAGCAGGCGGACAGACAGTCCTTTTCCTCGGTCACTTTCCAACAGTCATCAGGGTATTTTCCGCCCGAGTCAGTGGCTGCACCTTCTTATCATCAAAGTGCTTAAGCTGTATTTAGCAATAATGCCAGGGATTTGCAGTTTGTATCCCTAATAGACTATGGGATAACTATAGCCTATAAGGTTAAGCTTTAGGCTGTAAATACAGATAATAAATAATAACATAATATTCTTTTTTTTCTTAATATAAACTTTTACCTATAAGCTTTTATAATAACTAATAAAT